TTATATTGCCTCCAGTGTTTCTTTTAAATTGGCCATGACACGTCAGAAGAAAAGGTTGGCAGAATTAACACGTGGGCTCAATACTGTGGTCCAGGTCTAGTCTGCGAATTCACAATATGATTTCACAATAGAATTATATTTATGTAATTCTCATTGTACATACAGTACAATATGCATTCAGTATGTATAAACATAATCCTTTTTTATGGTAAGATGGTAAGATTGAAAATTGATCCATTCAGACTGTGCCAATACACAACCTCTTGAAGCACTTCTTGACTGTAAGTCCTTCTCTATTAAAGTCCTGTTTTTTTGGCAACTTGCGTAAGCAATTCGGCAATAACCAAGCTACCTCCTGAACACTAAGAAGTCTGAGTGCACCAACTCCCACATGGTAATTAAACACCCACAAAGGCCAAATCAATGGAACGTGTCAACTCTGCTTCAATAGCAACAGTGTGGATGGATCATGGAATGGAGCTCCAAATTTGTAGTTAATCACCTGAATGTTAATGATCGATGTATTTAATGACTGACCTCCCAGAGAGATTCATGCCAGTCTTCGCTTGTCCTCACCATTTGCTCGTGAATTACTTTCTTTGTGAGTTTGAGTTTCTTTGTTGGATCCTGCCTCTCATATTTGAAGGTGGGAGTCAAGGAACCTTTTCCTAGCGCACTTTAAAGGTTCTTGAAGTAAAAAAGCAGCTTGAAATAAATTACAGCCATTAACAACTTCACTTTATACTGGAGTGCTAATCTCCTCATCTACCAAATGGCCAAACATCCTGAGGCTGGCTTGTTAGGAATGTGAACAACGGCCCTGATACAGTAACAGTGTGTTAGGATCATTCAGAAAGAAAACAAGTGTACATAACCTGACCCCAAATTAGTAGAATATCCATCCATTTCAGATGCCACCAGGGAAGGGATGAGGTCCAGGGATTCCTCTTCCATGATGGGGATTTACAAGAATCTTAAATATTGAAATAACATAATGATATCAATGATATGATAATTCCAGATAGTTCCCCATATTGGGGAAAATGTTTCACATTACCTTTCAACTTTGGCAGTCAGGAGAAGATGATTACTGGGCAGTTTTGACGCACTGGTAGGAGGATAAAACTGAGGTTTAAATGAAAGAAGACAGTGACAGGCTCGTGGAATGTAGCCAGTTCTCACTGTAATTAACATCCATCAACACCAGAAACTGTCGCTGTGAGTGCCCGTCCTACCACCCACAGATATGTTGAAGGTTTTCCAAAATCCATTAAGATTTGTGCAGTAACTGGATTCATCAAGCCATCCTTGGATTATGCAGTGCTAGTGAAATGTTTGAACACAGCTGCCCATTCACAAGTAAAAGTGTCTAAAACTATTTACAGCCACTGTGCATCTCACGCCCTCAGGCACAACTGGAACTGAAAACAAAATGATTAGACAATGAGCAGATATCTCTAGAGCAAGCATACTTTTCCTTCTGAGACTTTCTGATAATGATGCAAAGGCAGCATTGCATTCAACCCTGACTTCTCAGTGCAGCTGTGAAAGTAATCAGCAGTACAGTCAAACCCTCCCTCTGCCTTTCACTCATGGATGGGCTCCTTTGTTTATGACCCCCCCTCCCTCATCTCCCTTAGACCTGTTTAGAGATGTTCACTCGTACACCATCACATGGATGCATACACATGGAAAGAAAGTACCTGCTTGGGCTTGCAAAGACACGCATGCATCAGCAAATTAGTATTATCCCTGAAGCCCATGTTTGTCTCCTCCAGGCACAATGCTGCATAGCATACATAATGATAGGCACAGAGAGCTCATATTAAAAGTACTTTGCATAAAGTATGGGGTAAAGTACAGGTATGAGTAAAAAAAAAACTGTTATATAAACAGGGATGAGCTGCTATAATCATGGCAGCTTATCCCACTTCTTAGGCATAAATGTGTAAAAAAGTATAATCCAATTCATGTCAGGTCTTGACTTATGGCAAATAAAGCATTAGCTTAACTAATAGAATAATGTACAAACATATAAAAAAAAACATAAGAAAATAATGTTTTCTGGTCTGAAACATTCATGTTTGAATGATGCGAAGGAGGAAAGACATTCATCACGACATGGTGAGGACAATTACTCACATGTCAGACTGTTGTCAGTGAGGCCTCATTTTTAGACATAGATAGGACCAGATATTTTAAATTATCTAAGAAAAAAACTAAATCAGAACCAAAAGAAACCATGTCTGTTATTTCACATTTCATTCTAATGTAGATACAACAACTAATTCTTATAGTCTGACTAGTGTTCTTTTTACAAACAAGTACTCATACAGCTCTTGTTGTTACCCTAATGTCCTGTCTATAACAAAATGTTTGACAGGCCATTATCCATTCAATTAAATTCAGTGTCATAGATCTTACGACCTAAAACTGTCCATAAATGTTCAAATCTAATTCAGAAACATGAAAATATAATTATTATACCATGCTTTCATATTTTAAATCATTCAATTAGTTTGTCATTCATTTGGTGAATAAATATGTCAGAAACTGTAGAATTAGATTACATAACACTGAAAATGCTGAGAATTTCTGACTAACTTTGAAAGCCCTTTTGGTATTGGTACACTATGAATGTAACTTTCTGCCCTATAGATTTTTATGATGTTGCAGCAAAATAAATCCCTGAACCCAACTCCCCAAATTGTGTTGCATCATTTGCACACACAGGGAGGAATTTATGTCTCCGATGGTTTTTTCCTCCTCTGTCAACTGAGACACATCCACTTATGCAGTAGTTTGCTGTACTGAAAAGGAAATGTCGCCAGAAAAATGTGTACATCAGTGGCATGTCGTTTCTGAATATTTTATGCTGTGGGGCACATTGTTACATACTTCTGTGAAGAGAGGAGGTTGGACAGGACCGCGGAATGCACGAGACCCGCTAGATCACAGCCATGAGATAGGGCCTTGTTGGCAGGCTGCAAAATTTGACTCTGCAGCTACAGTAAACTTACGTAAAGCCATTTGGTGTCAGACAGTCACAGCTACAGGTTTGAAAAAAGCGTGACAGCGTGTTGCAACCACAAGCCTCAATGAGCAGTTGCATTTTCTGTGCATCACTGACCAGTCGTGGGTGGAAAAAAATCATTCTGGGGCTTTGTGTAACAGGATATTGGAAACAGAAAACTGTGAACACAAAATTTAGATTTCCATTTAAAACTTTTTTTTTATTTCAAAGAAACTGGACTTTGACTACTGTGAAGGCAGTCATCTATTAATCAGTTTCATTTAACTTTTCTCCATTGCAACCCCCACTTCAGAAATCCCACTTTTGGGGGGTAAATTAAAAGGAAGACTACAAAGGAAGATCTAGAAGGAAACCTTTCACATTAGATGGTGTGTAGCTTCATCAGACAGCTCAGTGCACACAGAGGCTCATATTAAAGACTTCAGATCCCCAGCACCCCACAGGGCAGCTCCATGTGGTCTTTCCAAGAGCCAGTAGGAGAGCAGCAGAGAGGACTTTGAACACTGTCAGAACTTAACACTGAACCTGATGGTGGTGGGTGAGTGTACCAGCATGTGTGGCTGACAAGGGTTAGGAAACACTGAAACATATCATCAGTGGTCAGTCCTGTTCTTACATTTTCAGTGATTTCTTTGTAAACACATATTTCTGATCAGTAGTTTTGCAAGACGAAAACAAAACATACCCTATTTGTTTTTGACAATAATTAAAACATTATTTTCACTAAATCAATGTATGCACCAGATACAGTTACTCACTTTGCTTGATGGGCTTCCACTTCCTTCAGGGTATGATCTCAACAGACATATTTCAATGTAAAAACAGATTGCCATGAAATTGGATGAGCGCATACATGATCCTGAAGGGGTAAACGCTTTTGTTTTTAATGACCCTGTAACCTTTTCTCTAGCAGCATTTTAAGGACAAATGAAACATTTTTAGCATCACAACTAATAAAGATGCAAAGTCTAACCTTAGCATATTCCAACCCTCTGGCTGTTACACATTACTGGACATAATTAATTTGGCAGTCTTCAGCCTGTGGAGGTTTAATTGCAGTCCATTTAAAACATTTTGAAAGTAAATTACATTTATCATTGTTATACTTATTATTGTCTCTTAATTACAAAGATTAATCTAGAAGTGCATGCCCACAACTTTGCAGTATTCACATTGTGAAATTGAATCGATTTAGATTCAGTTAAAGAACAGACGTGCAAATTCTTTATCTGATCGTTTTGAATCTAAGCCTCCGTTATGTTTACACTGAAATTACACCCCTGAAAATATGTAATTATTTAAGACCTCCCTGTGAATTATATATAGATCCCAAATGCACAAAGTTTTTAATCAAAGGGAAACATAAGTCGCTGTAATGTATTATTGATGTTCACATTAAGAAGGTCATAACCCGCTTGCTTCACTCACATCACATATGAATTCCATAAAGAAAAGCACACACACACACACGCACACACACACACACACACACATACACATACATACACACAGATTCACACAGGCATGTCATCATCGTCATCATCGTAAGCACTTTCAATGGGACAAGGCTGAGTCTCTGAAATGGCAAAAAGTGACAGAGGGAGCAGGTGTTTATGCCTCTCAGAGAAATAAGGAGCCTGAGATGTAAGCTGAGAGGGACTGCCCCCCCCCCAAACCACCCCCCGTTTGTACACACAATCCATCTCCTTCTCTTTGCTCCTTCAGTCATCTTCGATCTTTGCTCTTTTAGCTGATTTCTTAGCGTAATGTAGTTCTTCTCTGTGCACCATTCTTTATCTCACTCTGTATATTGTTATATCTTCGCATCAGATTCCACCTTTTTACTTTATCTAAATCAGTCGGTATCACCTTCCTCCATCTGAGCTCCTCGCTTGGATTCCCAGAAAATCAGCATGATAGTAAGACATCTTTGATGTGGAAATTTAAGATATGCAAACATGAGTGTGGAAAATGTTTAATATACAGATATTTTATTTACAGCACAATACACCACGTAGTTTACAATCCTGCTTGATTTGTTGAGATTACAGAGCGTTCACCGTTGCTAAGAGCAGCAGATGGGAAGCTCTAGCTCATGGGGGTGGGGGGGGGGCACCAACAATCACAGCCCCCCGAAAATCACATCGAAATCTCACATTTTTAATTGCGATGAATCCACGTTGAGAACAATGCCTGTACACCGATATACATGACAATCTTCGTTTCAAATACACATGTGGAGATTCTGATTCGTGCATGCGCTGGCGGGAAAACTGAAGGTCAGACTGATGAAGGAGTGGGTGGATGGGGGTGGTGAGTAACATTAGTTAGTCCACTCAGTGTGGAGGCTAAGGGCCTGCAGATGAAATGACCCATTTATCAGGCTCGAAACTCCATTTGGACTCCATACGGCTTTCTAACTTAGATTGAAACTCTGGAAAAAGGGAATTTAAAGAAAAGTCCATGTACAGTACAATATATATGCAAAAGGAAGGCTTACATTTTGTGCTCTCAGTAAAACTGTGTGCATGTCTGGTCATGTATGAGGAGTTGAGGAGCAAAATCTCTTGCTTGCATTGAATACAGCTTCACCTTGCTTGAGTGTAAAGACTGTACGTCTGAGGTCACCACTGACCAAACGCTCCACGGCTGAACTACTCCACAAGAGCGCAGTCTGATTTCCATTTCTAATACGCTGACGCCATTCACTCCTCAGCAGCTGAGGAGCTTGATGAAGGCCCGCCTGAACTCGATGTTGAAGGTGGTATAGATGACAGGGTTTAGGGCACTGTTGACGTACCCCAGCCAGGTGAAGGCCCCATAAAGGGCAGGAGGCACGTAGCATGTCCTGCAGTGGGTGTTCAGAATGTGAGTCACAAAAAAAGGGAGCCAGCAGATGAGGAACACCCCTGAAGCAGGCAGAGAGTAAAGCAGAACGGGGAAAGGACAATAGAGAATTAAATAGGGTGCAAATAGGACAGAGCAGTGGACACAGGGGAGAGAGTGCGCACAGAAAAACAGGAAGGTGGGAAAAAGGCATGCAATTTTACAATGTAAATTTCAGGGAGGTGAAAATAGTGAGGAAAAATGAGGACAAGGGGAGAAAAACAGAGAAAAGAAAGGTCAAGTTAATTATAGTCACTGTTCAAATTCATTAGCCCCCCTTAGCAGTTAGCCCGCTGTTAAAAAACTATAAATTACTGTCCGTATATTCCGATATATTTGCTGCTTCTATCCAAATATAAGGACGCTTTTTTAGATTTATAAGGACTTTATAACTAATGAACTATTGAAAAGTAACATTTTAAAGCTCTGTTTTAATACTGTTCTTGTTTGTGAAGGCTAACATTCACTGTTGCCTGCTTTTCATTCTGACCCTTTTCTTTTTTTAATCTGTTTTCTAGAATTCAACAATTGTTGTGTTGTGCACCTTAGCTCCATCACATTTATTAAATTTGCTCAGCAGCAGACAGCATAGTAAGGTGTTAATTAAATTCCCTACTAGAACAGAAAATTACAGGAAACTCTGATGAGATGTTTGAAAAACAGGTTAAAAAAACAAAAACTACTCATGTATGCTCTCCTTTCACTGAATTTAATCAAAAACTCCTTCTTTGACCAGGCTCGTGGTAACCTGGCAGGTAATTGGAGCATTGCTGTGTGTCATGACATGTTGGAACCCAAACACAGGCCCCTTTTTTTTTGTTCAGCTTGATTTAATACAACTCTGCAAGATGTGTTAATGCGTCCCAGCTGAACAAATACGAGGGAGCTCATGACTTAATGAGCGGGCTAATGAGTAAACAAGGTGAAAAATCGTTCTAAAATACTGTAGTTTAGTTGAATTTTATGTATGTTCTTCTCAGAGATTTTCGTTTAATTTAAGACACTCACCGAGCACAATGGCCAACATCTGAGTAGCCTTTTTCTCCCGGGCGTGCATACACCTGAATCGCTGATTGGTGTGTAAGTGTGACATTGGCCGTAGTGATGTGTGCGTCCGTCCATTGGACAGATCCTTCACCTCGCAGCTCATCCTCACAGAGGGGTGTTCCATCTGATTGGTGTCATCAGCATCCTGCTCTCCTCGCTCCTGCCCCAGGTCCAGCTCTGTGCGCCCACAGGAGGCATGGCTAATGCTGCAGTAGTTCTGCGTGTCCACCGGGGGCAGTACTGAGTTCTCCACCGGTCCTGTCTTTGGGCGTTTGTGCCACAGGCAGCCTGATAGCAGGTTTGGTTTGGATGGACCTGACGTCTCCACACTCTGCTGAAGGGAAAGGGGGTTACCTATTAGTACAGGCATACAGTGTAAGGGCCAGCTCGTGTGAATGCTTCAAGTTGAGTCCTGAAGCAGCTCTCATATGTCTTCATAGGAAGAAAATATAGGAAAAGCTGGGTTTTTTTGCAACGAAGAAAATAAAATATATATCACTCCCCCTTTGCTTTATAGTGTATACTTTATAAAAAAAAAATTATTAATCAATTTTGAACACATTTCTCATAGTTATTTGTTTAACCAGTATATAACTTTTGTGTTTGTTTAGGATCCTGAGAAAAAATCAACCTTCAATCTTACGCCTCGAGACATGATGAATTCTAACATTTATGAAGGTGATGTTGGGAACCATGTGTTCATTGTACAAGCTGGCTCCAACGTAGTCTTAGCACCTGTCTGTGCGTACTGAGTTACCTGTTAAATGAGAGGCTAGTCCAAGTTAGGAGGTGGGATTAACTGGGCCACCAGCAGCTGGTACTCAGCTTTGCAAAGTGCTAAAAGTAAAAATAAATGCCAAATTTTGTGGTACAGAAATGACTTCTTTCGGGATTAATCAATGATTAGGATTTAAGAAATCTGGGTCACACCTGCTATGTCCATCATCCTCACTTTCGATAGATAATTTGGCAAGAGGAATACAAGATTAGTGTCTTTCTTTTAATCATGGAAGATGATTTCACTGCAAAAGATTCAGATAATGCGTTCAGAAATTGCGTTCAAATGTTTGTCAGGGTCATCTTGATAAGTAAATAGCTTCCATTATGAAGTATCAAATTTGTGGTCTCAGCTTATTAAGCTGTCAAGTATGTTGAAAACATAATAATTGCTGCTTGATTGTTTAAATAATCAGCCGTCATTGCTCTTGTTCTTAATTCACCCAAACCTCTTATGTAGAGCCATATAATTTGAAATATCTGCAGCTGAGAGCTACTCTGTCAACAATGTGGTGAATAAGAATCTGAAAATTAGACATTATATCCGATTCATGTCAGACTGCTCTGCAGATTGTATATAAATGCCTACATTCATGACACTGAGAGTATAATCAACTGAAATTATTATGTATCTAACTGAATGCTCTTTCATTCACAGAGCCTTAATTTACCTCCTATACTTGCAGATAGTTTCTTCCTTAACTTCCAGCAAACTCAGAAGCTTCCATCAGTCTATCCATCATGAGTAATAACAGAAATGAACAAGTTTTAAGTCTAGTGCAGTATGTATTTCCAATAAAGCCACAAACGTAAAATTTCATGCGATCCTCTTACTCATCAGATTACAGGTTTTCGTCAGAGGAAAAGAACAGATTGTTATTTCATCCTTTTTGTCATGCAGGAACTGCAGTCTTTCATCCACGGACTGTGCTCTGCTGACAAGTGACTGGGTGACTTAAGGCAACAAGCTACACTTCAGAATCACAATTTCCGGACCCCTTTTCAGCCCCCTGAGCTGAGACCATATAGCGGAACAAAAAAACTCAGGTTGTGTGAATTCATAGACTGACATACAGAGGTCGTTACATGAAAAGCCAAAAACAGAACGGATTTGTTTACCACACGTTTACAAAAAAACAGCACAGTCAGCATGGTCAGACATTTGGCTGCACTGCATTCATTAAAACTGCAGCCAATCAAACCAATCATGCAATACATCAAAATCATGACACTTATATCTATATTTAATTTCTTTTTGAGTAACACCCACCACTTTAATCCTTATGGGGGACAGGTCTTCCTTTGCCTTGGGAGTCTCCTCCTGCAGACAGGTCTCCTACGGAAACAGAGAGTTCAAGTTCAAGATGGACACGATTTTACAGGTATTTACATAAAAGGAGCCCCCCTCCCTCCAAAAACAGCCAGCCCCACCAATCTGCAGGTAGGACAGTTGTGTCGTGTTCAATTGATACCAGTGATTAAACTGATTTCATCTAAAGGACACTTTTATTAAGAGTTAAACAACAAGAGTGTTCCTGAGACATGAAACAAATCAGGAAAAATTAGGTTTCATGTCCCTTCTGTTTTCAGTCACTTTCTGTTCAGAGCCAAATGCTGCACAACTCAATTAGAATTTAGCGCAAACATAAACATAAACATGGGCACATTTGAAACATGGGGGAAAAGTACTTCTTCATATTGAATTTGGTTTCACTTCACTGAGCCAGACTCCTGTTATGTTAATTCAAAACACTTTCATTACACTGTAAATCATTCACCCAGAACTTTTCCAGTCTGGGATCTCACGGTTGACATCCCAACCACAACCAGTCATTTGTAACCTTGTGTTAAAAAAGAGGACCTGACTGAAAAATTCTGTGCATTGAAGGGGAAAATTGGAGTGCAACGAATGCAGATGCCTCAGACAGACAAGTTTCTGGATGTGCAAAACACAGCACTGGATAGAATTCATTAATAGTGTCTTTTTATACGCTGTATCTTAATAATAGGGCTGATACAGATGCAAAACACATGACCTGATGTCTGTTTGTCCGTGGTTGTAAAGATAAAGCCAGTATTTGGATGAAAGTTGTAACTGGGACAGACATTAGAGTGATGGTGGGCACAATGAGAGACCTGACAGCTTGTATAAAGACATAAAAGCTTTCTGTTCAGGGCTACTTTCTAACTTGCTTATTGACACAGTAAACTAATGATGATGAAATGGTTAAGATCACAATGATCCATTGTCATCGGGACAGTACTGACAGCGCTGATGCAATTAATTTGTTAACCCCAACATTTGGCAGCATGACAATGATTTCTTCTAAATATGGGTCTATTAGCCCATGACCTTTATTAGTATGGATATTTGTGTATGAAAAGATATAGCCAAACTATAAAAAATAACTGGTTCCGTGCCATAAAAATAGCCGAGCTCCACAAGATGTCTAGTGATGGTATACTGTGGAGCCCCACATGTGTCAAAAGCAGATCCTTCAAGTCCTGCAAGGCAGAGCTTCCATGAATCCACGGATGACTGAGATCTGGAGAAGTGGGCCAATCCTCAAGCCATGCTCTAAACCACTTTTGAAATGAGAAAAGACACACTAATCTTCTGCCCACATGAACTACTATCTGCATGTAGCAGTTTATAAAATCTTTAACCGTGTAACGTCATTAGTTAGGTGATAGATCTGTAAACAAGGCATAGCAGAATCTTATAACCTATGGCTGTTTGCCATCTTCTGATGATGCATCCATTTGCCTTCTATGCCAGAGATAAATTATACAAATGCACTGATTTGTCCACTTGGAGATGAAAGAACACAGGTGGGCTTCTTTAATTGCTCCATTGTCCACGGCCTCTCGTGTGTTACTTCCAGCAGAGGACAGGGACGGCATACCACTCTGATTCGTGTTCAGTCATGCATATACAGTAAATTGGGATGCACATTCTGACGATGGCTAGCATTGGGATTTGGAGTCAGCCCACGGGGGTGATCAATGACACTGCTGGAGCTTAATCTAAAATGTTTGAATCACTGCATTACTGGTACAATCCAGTAATCTCTTACAGATGTTTTGACAGTTTTTCATAAGCAGCACAGTCTGGGTCTTGTCCCTGAGGCTCAGAACTTTACTTTTGTCCATTTGACAGGGTCAAACACATCAACTGGAAAAATGTGATTTCGACTTAGTGCCTAAAAATGTATCATTTAGGCTATTGTAGCGTAGCAGGTATTCTATTCAGCTCAGTCCATTTTTTAACGCACCAACAGTTTAGTGGGTGGGAAATTAAAGACTTGTGAAAACATAGAATACATCCCTCTTGATGTAACTATTTTTCAGCTGGACAGTATATTTTGATTAAGAACAGCTTCAGTTGTGCAGAAATGTGTGTCGGCTGCTCGTGGTCACAGGCCTACGTTTACATTTCTTCATTGACATCCCCTCGTCTGAGAGCATCACGCTGTCAAACTGCCTGCATTTTTACAGAGCGGCCTCACAAACAACTATACTGCATTTCCTTATTACTGTAAAAACCCTGATTATTTTATGTTCCATTGTTTCTCCTGACATTGCTTTGCAACCCTTTAATCCAAAAGTGATTAATCGGAAGATCATTACATATCATCAAACTAGCTTTTTCCTGCACTTTCTGACAGCTGCGTCTATCAATCTGTCTAATCTTTGCATTTTAAAGCACCAGCTGTGAGGCTGGAGCTGTGCGCCCATTGTGAGCGTACCAAACAGCAAAGATTCGGTAAAAAGGTGGATTTTGATTTGCAAGTCATCATCAATGTGAATGCATCAGGGAGAATGTGAACCACGGCCGAGAAGACGGCTGATCATAGCTAATGGGGAGCTTAAAAAAGTCAGACCACCATGAAATCATAATCAGTTCCAAGCTAATTTAAATGTCTAACAAGTTATTAGAAAATCAGTTATAAATAAATCATATATCAACATCCAACCAATCAGAAGGTGTAAATGTCGAGTCAATACTGAGCAGAATCACAGCCAATTAATTCACAGATAATAAGTTAGCAGTTATACATTTTGAATGATCATTAATAAAAATTTGAGATAATTCAATAATTAAACAGTACATTGCACTCACTGAATGTTAGTAATTTATTTATGAGTGAAGTTTTGGAGGCCTCGCGGCTCCTTTAGACAAGGTCAGAAGTCAAACCAAAGAACCTTTGATGAGTCAGAGAGCTGAAAGTACAAAGACAGAGAGGAAAAAACTGCCTCAAGTTGTTCTATATGCATGATTTACTTTAGCTCAAATAATTGATCATAAATGCTTTTTTTTTTAAGCTTTGCCAATTTAACAGTGCAGTAATTCCTCACAAGTGAAAAAATGGACAAAGAGAGGGGAAAAAAAGCAAAAGTATGTAACAGAACTCAGACGCCCGCCTCACCGCGGACGGTTGTGTGTAGCCTGGCTGCACTTTTCCGCTGGCCTGACCAAAGGTGATCCTCTTTCGCCTCATCCTCAGGAAGACGTAGATCCGGATGTAGACCAGCAGAGTGACGATGAATGGCAGGTAGAAGGACACCACAGAAGAGTAGATCACGAAGTCAGGGTTGGAGATAGAGCACACCATGGGGTCATCTGCGGGTAAAAGCTGCATGTCATTACTCGAATATGCAGACCACAATTTACAGAACACATAGAGTTTCATTTACAGCTGACCTGTGATCCTGGAGAACGCTCATTGCCTCGGGAATTATCTTGATGGATTGCTCTGAGAATGCAAGCTAAACTGTATTGTACATCCCACCTGAACTCACAGCAATGACAGTGAGGCCGATTGATTTGACAGAAACTGCACTGTGTAATCAAGATGAGAAATCGTCTGGAGTTTGATTTGAATTAAAACTTTCAGATTCAAATATCATTCAAGGAAGCCAATAGAGCTGTCAGTTGAAATTAATGTTTTTAAAAAAGCGGATGGAACAAAGTGAGGTGGTTGGCCTCTCTTTGGATCCATGCCACAGACCTTAAAACACAGAAAGCTAATCGGGCCAGAGAGTCTGCAATCTTTGTGTGGTTGTCTCAAGACTGCTGCCTCTTTCTACAGTCAAACAGCTAATTATCATGTTTGTCAGTTATGTTACTTTTTTTTTTATACTTCTCTTTTTCAATCCATTACTTTAAAAACAGGGCAACACATTCATAACCTGATGTAAACCCTTGAGTCTTGCCTAACAGTGGGCGGTTACACGCAAATGAAGCGGCGCAGTTCCTGCAATCAGCAGCTATTGTTCCATGTTGATTATAAGCCAAATGCTTGAATTTGGATGAGTAGCTTTACACTGTGTTTAACTAATGCTCTTAATGTGCATGCTCAGTCATCCGTCTTCACTATCAGCTTCTGTAATCAAAGTAGCTACTTGTGATGTCTCACATTTAACTGCTTAGTGTTGAATTTTTTAGGTTACCAAATCATTCCTGAAACAACAACCCCAAATATATTTGTTGATATCATCACAATGCAATGTTCTGGTAGGAAAGACTGAGACCTACTGTTCATGTTGATGCTTCTCTGGAGATCAACACACACTAAGCCAACATTCAAATAGATATGGAAGCAGAGCAATGCTATTGAGCATTAGTTAATTATGGTATTATTTTGAGAGCATAAGACTTTTTTTAATAACAAATGTATATATTTTGTCAGTTTTGCCAATTAAAGTTTGTTATCTCACCAATGCAAACAGCGGGATCATCTGAAGGACGACTACTGGCTGAAGCATACGCAGTTAAACTCTTATCTAAAGTCTGCACTCATTTTAATGAACACCAAAGTCACATTGTGACAACAAATTCAGTTTTCTCATCATGTCATGATCTAAAGAAAACAAAAGGGTGCTTTCTGGGAAGAACAAGATAAACTGACTTTTTATCACAAAAAACAGGTTTGAGACCTCAAGAACAGAAAAACTCCTCAAAGATATTAAAAAGATAATTTTAAGATGAAAAAGAACAATTAGCTAAGGCAAGGTGGCTTTTGGCTCCTGAAAAGCCAACAGCATTTACCTGGAAGGCCTGTTTCATACAGTTTCTAAAACATATACATTTATAGATCCCTAAAGTTTGAACAGTTGTCATTTTTAACTTTACAGGGATATGATTTCATATGACATGATACAATGGACTTTTGTTATGAGACTTGACAAAAGCGAGAAACTGCTTTTGTCACGTTCTCTTGATGAACAACACAATAAAATGTTGTGTTACTTTAGTTTTTAATAAGACAAAAATGCAACTTGTTGAAGGTCAGGAAAAGCTAATAGTAATGATAATGACCGTGTAAAAGTACTTCTTCTTTTCTCATGAAGTATAGTTGAAAGGGAGTTGACATTATGAGCCATTACATCAAAAGACAGAACTGTTTGCCGCTCAATGGGGTGTCTTCTGCACAACATGTGACGGATGATTTTGATATTCTGGCTGATAGGACAGTTTACTGGGATTTAAAGTTGCGATTCAGAAAATTCCAAATGAACTGGATCCTTCATTTGTAGTTCAAAAGCTTTGCAGCTTTAAATATCTAAAGTCTGATTGTAATGAGGTTGAAATGTGTTCTTGTTAATGATTATGGCCTTGGGGAACTTGCAGTCATGTATTCTTTCTTTGTCTCGCTCTCTCTTTCTTTCTTTTTGTTAAATCAAATGAGTTTTGTTGCAAAATCTGCTAATTTTCTCTTTATGGTTTAGTCATTTTATGCAACTCTGCACTACATTAAACCCTAAACACACGCATAAGTGTAACACAGACCCTTTTTTAACACCAATACCACCAGTTGTTGGTATTGTTTGTCAGACCTAACAAAGCTCAACATGTTACAGCTGAGGAGAAACCCATTTTTCCAAATGAATGAATCTTTAAATCCCATTTGAGTGTATGTTTCATGTCTCCTGCCACCCTGAATGACAAGTGGTTGGCGTTTTTATCCATGACTTGGACAAAACGCCTTCTTGCTAAGCATTCCGATTCGCTGTGAGCAAAACTTCCACAGGAATGGTCAAGAAGAGGAAGCTAAAATGCTGTTGATGACCTGACCTGTGGTGTTGAAGCCGAACAGCAGGGGACAGGAGACGGCAAAGGCCAGGACCCACACTGTGGCAATCATGGCGAAAACTCTCTTCCTCGAGCGATGGGTGGTGTTGTACAGCACTGGCATCACCACTGCTGTGTACCTGCTCGCATACAAACACACACGGCTTATGAAATTTGAGTTTAAAACATCATGTAGATGATGACATTTGAATGAAGAGAAAAAATGCTTCTGTGTCTGAATCAGATTGGGAATTGGGGATGCCAAGAAATACGCCACTGAGAGGGTGTTTGATATAAAGACCAACAATCGAGAGGGACACCAGGCATTTCTATTTAGAACTAATTTGGGTATTCAGCAATAAACCTAGAAGGGCTTAGATTTAAGAGTTAATCAGCGCATTATATGCCAAGAGTGCATAATGAGGCTGACAAAACTGGGTACAGCAATGGCTCTGAAGAAGCAGCAATTATGGCGGACCTCAACGCAAACTGGAAGCGATGTAATGTTGTTTAGAGCCAGATAACTGCCATGATTGTTTATACTCATTAGAACAATTGCTCTGTTCTTGCTCTGGGCAACACAAAGATTGAAACCTGGAACCAAACAGGCACCAATGTTTGCTAAATATACCCCTATTTCTCTGCTTTCCACTGTCACGACCTTTCTCCATGGGTGCTTTCTGGGTTAAATAAAAGCAGAGCTGAAAAGAAAAATGGAGTGAAAGATTACTGATGTTTACAGTTTCAGTTTTCAATGAAGCTGAGGCTCTGTGGCCCTGCGTATGAGTAGGGTAGGTGCTCTCACAAAGACAGTTCACCATTTGATATGAGAACTTAATTTCTTATGAACTTATGCTGTGCCTGGAGGAGCCAGCAGATAGTTATGAGTATGAAAATGCACCGTGACAACAAAAAGGTAACAGGTGTGTTACACGGGGCTTTAATTATTCATGACCTCACAAACATATAATGTTGTAAGTGTGTTGTTGACTCGTGTAGAAATCCATTTCGGTGAACTGCGGGGATCGCAAAGACTTCATTGTACAGGTGCAAAGCAGCTTTGGTACCAAGCATCTAACAGTCTACTGCAAAGGAGGCAAAAGTATGCTGAACGTGTTAATGAATTGTCTGTCAGCTCACCAGTGTTGCTGTGCGGTTCTAAAATTAGATTGTAGAGATGTCATGTAGTTTCGGAGACATCAGTAAAGAAAAAACAGCAGACAGATAAAGAAAAGATTGACAAATTTCCGAGCCCGTCTCTCTTTTGGACTCATTAAAGAAGAAGTCAAAGACCTTTCTAACCATGTGAGCAATAACAGATGAAGCTATTTGGAAACAGAAGCTTAACATCACTGGCTGTTCTTAAGGCAATGATTTGCCTTCGGGTCTCGCACACATTCAGCCTTGTGCGCACAAGTGCCGTTTTGAATCCAAGTTGAATACCCCTGGTACATGCTTCTTTTTTCAAAAATCCTAAATGCCAGGTGATTTGTTACACAAAATCCTTCGAGAAGTCATCTGGAAAACAGTTTGGAAAAGGGCAGAGAGATTCAAAACAATGCTTTGCACCTGACTGGAAGACCCATTTATCCACAACCTTTCATGAGCAATTCAAGAGGCAATCTGATCAATGGAGATAGCTGGGAAAAGAGTTACACCCTTCCCTTCCAGCTGGGAGAAACCTTGAGCATCAGTCCTCGCTCTTTAGGTCCGTGAGGACATATTCAGGCAGATGACACGGCAGCATCTTGTCTTTTGTTGCTGCATTATGCTATCAACACGTATAAAACCAAACTGCTCGTGGAGGACGCTGATTGTTCCAAGCTACTGTGCATCATCGAATTATAACCATTTGTCCATTTTAATTTGTACATTTAAGAAAAGCTAATGATCAGGTTTTTCTTACTGTCTGCAAGAGATTACACATTTTCAGTTTGTTGCAGTGGAAGTAGTATTCTGTGCTGCAGAGTTGCACAGCTTGCTCATGTTTCTTCAGTTGCAAACAATGCATTTGTTTTTATTTTGTAGCCCCACCTGAGGCTTTAAAAATTGGTTTATTCAGTCCCCTACATGGAGCACACAGGCTCTCTGACCTTGTCTTTCTCAGGATGTAGGTTATGTTCAGTAGAATTTAAGTAGAAATCCTCACTCAGTGAAAGAGTCGTTAACCAGATATTAAATCCCAGAGTCAGACCTAATACGTCTTTTAACACATATTTTAGAGACAAAATGTTCACAATATCACCAGGAGAAGCATTCAACATTTGCTTCATTTGCAGAACGATATCATTTCAAGCTAAGAAACGCACTAAAGGGACACCAGCTGTCATGCAATCTTATGAAAGCACTCATCTTCCTCTCTCTTTCTATCTTGTTCCACCTCATAAGCTGTGTAAAAAGACCCCCATCACCCTTAACTCACGTGTGTTACTTTATTTATTAAAGTGGGTGCAATTGAACTTTGATGCCTGCGGCCTGTAAGTTCAAAGATCCTGGGGAGTTATTAAATATTAACTGTGACACAAGAAAATAGTTTTCAAAAATGAATAATGTAAATATGCGACTCACATCGGCTGCAAAGGTTCGAACTGAAAGAAGACAATATTCCCCTGATTACTGCAAACAAACCCACAGAAATGACACATACAACCATAACGCAGTGTTTGTGATACCTGTTCATGTTTTTTTGCTCCACATTTTCGGCACATGGATGCACATTATGCATCCATGTGCCGAGTTATGAGCACCATGGGATATTGTAGATTTTTCTTGCAGCAATAAGCTTTGAAATATCTATGAGGTGAAAGTAAGAAAGAAAGAAACAAAGAAACAAAAAAACAACCTGGAAAAAAATCCATATAGATAGCATTTAAGGAGGAGATGTCAAGCAAACATCTGCAGTCACACACAACAAAGATGGTAAGAAGGTACACTGTGCACACTCACCTGTCAATGCTGATAGCACACAGGTTGAGAATACTGGCAGTGCACATCATCACATCCAGCGTGACAAAGATGTTACAGTAGAGCCTGCTGAAAAGCCAGGCTCCGCCGACCACCTGCACAGGACAGACAGGCGGATTAACAAAGCACATGTTCCCCTTCTTCTCCATCACAGCGGAGTGTGACGTAGCTTTGAACAGTTGACAAAGGATTGAAAAAAGTGGAAAACTGGGCATACAGGAAATGGTTTTACACACGTTATGTAAAAAAAACAACTGGCCTTGGCTGCAAACGTTCAGTTCAGTTTTTACTCATACATATTGATAAAAATGTATTAACATTAAAGCTTGAATAATTTCTGTATGTTTCCATCCTTACATATAAAATCTACCATTAGATAGTCTTTGTCCTCTATCAGATTCAATAGCACATTTTCTAAAGTGATGGTAGATGGACTCTCTATAGTTAGCACAATAAGTCGAGGGAGGAAAACCGTTTAACACGGTTCCAAACTATGTTAAATGGAGCTACTTCCATCTCTACAAGGGCACAAACCACTGGCTCTCCCGACAATAACCCAATCTCCATCTTCTCCACCTTCTCCACCCCCCCACACCTCGCCTCCCTTGTATAGCCTTGCTCAGAATGTTAGGATTTCACTTTGGCTCTATAATGCTTGGTAATAACTGTCTGACAGAGATAAATGGGATCCAAGTGCCTGAGCCTCACTTCTGCATTCTCAAATCCAGAATGAAAACACGCGCCTCCCGACACAGAGGGGGGGAAAGTAGATAAAGAAACGCACACAGACACCCATGCATTTAAAAGTGTGGATAGACAGCGACATGCGTAGAGCGTGGTTATACAAACTCAGGTTCATTCATTCATAGCAAAGCTGCAGCTTTTTACGACTCACTGAAAAGAAAGTCTACTTTTCAAAATCGACTTCTTCAGTACCCAACGCTACTTTCATGCTTTCATGCTTTCTGTACAACCAGCTGATAAGCTGCTAGAACACGACTTTAAAAAAATTCTAATTAGTTCAAGCATTTTATGATATTGACACTGTGTTTGAATATGTGCAAAAAGCTATTCAAAGCTTTAGTATGTGTGCAGTCTTCAGCTAAAGCAACAAACACCCTTTTCTTACTGCCAATATATATAAAAGATGCACAATATGTGAAGGTTGCATCTATTTTTAATGAAAACAATAAAAAACTGAATTCTTAAAATCCCTGCGGAGGTGACTATACATGATTTTAAAAATGTATTTTATACCCATTGGGCCAAATGTCAAACACACCTTGAACATGAATGAAAATACTAACAATAAATATTCTAAACCATAACCTGCAGATGGGGGAGAACTGTAACTGATATTTTAACAACACAAACTTTCAATAAACTGGACATTGAAGGTCAAGATTATATACACATTATGAATGTTGCACATGTTCGATCCTTGCTTTTTTTTTTGTGGATCGATGGATACGAAAATTCTGGTGTAACTCTTTAGGTCGATACACTAGTTGTAAGAAAAATAATTCAGTGTTACTTCAGTGTTACTAAAACAACATATTGGAACATTCTCAAATATTCTTAGTAAAAAATATATTCAGGTGACTTGCTAAACAGTGAATTTCAGTCCACTTCTGATGTAATTTGGTGTAACTTAGTCTTTTCTTCCAGGTGATCCTTGGGAACAGTCTCTGGACATCCTTAACCATGCTTTTACAGTAACCTTATTTTCTAATGTCCCTCAGAAAGTATAGAAAACAGTTGCTTAAGACTGCTTATAAAGACACAGAACCAACATTAAGAAATGAGGGAAGGTGCGACAATGTATGTGCTTTTCAGACATGCATGCTGCTCTGCCTCTCCCTGCAATGGAGCTCTTCTAGCTCCGTGTTCGCGTGTGTCTGAGCTTAATCGCAGGAGTGGAGACACCTGTCTGGAGAAAGGTGCCCAGCTACAGTGTATCCACTGCGAAGCTCCCGCAAAGTGCCAGCTCTGCAAACAGCTGCCAGATCTTACTGTGCGTGCTGTTTGTTATGCTCCAGCCACATCCTATTTTTGCTGCTCTGGTGCCATTTGGATTTTTAGTCCTTGATTTTCTTTTGTATGCAGTTCTTCCAGGCTCTTTGGCCTCAGCTGCTTGTGATGCTGGCTCTGTCTGTTATCGTCCTGAACTCATCTGCTTCTTTTGTAAATGACTAATGGTTTAGTGAGTTTTTCTTTTGAATATGAACTGTTTAAACTGTAAACCCTACAGTGTGAAATTAGAACTGTACGAACTCAATGCTTTTTGCATAATGTGTGGAGCCACGTCTCAGCAGAATCCAACCAACTGCTGCAGTGAGTTTGATCTTTTTGTAGGTCCGATGCTAAATTAGAGAAATACTGCTTTAACCTCAATTCCACCAGTGGAAAAAAAAGGTATTCAATAAGATGTATGTAACTTGTTTGTGGTCAGTCCCACGTGTACATAGTTCATGTGAGTTCACATTGACTGTGTGGAACATATGTAAACGTATGTATACTTTGTGTACTACCAGTCTCTATAAAAAGACATCACAGGTGAAAACACTTTTTTTTATGAGAGGCCTGAAAGAAGATACAGAAATACCAAACATGAAAATATTAAATTGCCAATTATTTATTGATTAGAATTAATATAATTAGTATATTTGTGAAAAGACTAAGTGTGTAAAGCTTTGTTTTTAGGTCCTGTGAAACATTCTGAACGCAGGTTTTGGTGGCATTTTAGTCCATTAATTTAAGCGGTTCCAAATCTGGGATGCTGGTAGGATCGGAGGTCTTTGGACAGCTTGTTTGGAAACACAAATCTTGTTTTATGAAGTCAAGGTTTTGTAGCTTTACCTTTGCAAACCATTTCTTTTACTCTCCTTCTGCATTGCACCAACAATGAACCCACATGCTGTTGCTAATGAGTATCACCAATCATTTTTATTTTGTCACCAATATTCTCAGCAAATTGCAGACACCCAGCCTTATTTATCAGAACAAAGGCTTACTCCTGTGTGCTTTACCGTTTCCTGTGATACAGTATTGCAATTTTTGAGTCAGAAGTCTTACGTGCATCAGCAACTGTTTTTTTGGGGGGAAATAAAATCTTTGATAGATTCCCTGCTTCAAAGACCTGTGTACAACTGTCAGTTCCAGACAAAACACTGTAAATATGGTTTATATTGTTTTTGCCACTCAGAGATTTATGACATCCTCTTCAATAAATAAAGATTTGACAGTTTCATTTGATAATGTTCAAGATTCCCTAAATGCAGCCGTATATGAAATTTTGAAGTGTCAACAAACTTTTAAAACATGCCTAGATACGACAAAATGCGCAGTTTTGCTTTCTAACAACTTCCATTCGAGACAGTGATATAAAACACCCTTTTCAGCTGAGTCTCCACCTTTCACTCCACAGATGAAGCTGTTTCCCCGGACGGGTCATATATTTGCAGAGGCTGAGAGGCATCATTCAGGGTGAGTTGTGAACTGTGAGTGTTCAGTCAATACAGCTACTTTGTTGAAGTATAAGTCATAGATCAAGTCTAACGTCCAGCAGTGAGATGACTTCCGCAAGGTCACTTAATTTGTACCAGGTGAGGGCAGAGAGCAAGCACTGCTTTTCTTGTAAGCACATGTCTGACAAATCAAAGCAGCAACCTCTACAATCTTAGCCTCTGTTGTTGCACTAATAGGTTTCTCCCGCTGCTTGTTCAAGACGTTATTCTCTTTTATGTTCTTGTTAAATTAATATAGTTAAGACGCTTGCATCTTCTAATTCTCCTGTCTTATGGGATTAAAAGCTTTCCTTTGAATCTGAAATGAAGACAAACACAGTCAAACAAAAAAAAACGACGCACATGCTCTCACCACATGACTGCTGGCTGGGAAGTTAACTGGTGACTGACTCCCATCAACGTTCTTGCCTACCTTAATTTACCATTCATCGGATGCAATAATCTTTCATTTGTCATTTCATGCTTGATGTAAGTCTCCTTTTTTAAGGATGCTTTTAAACTCACACTCTTACGCCTCTGCTAAAAAAAACACAGGACACTGTTACAGTTCATTTCCAGTGTGCAGTGTGTTACTTTGATGAAATATGGATGCCTAAGGGCCAAGTATGTCTTTACATGTAATGAGTTTGCTGAACAGGGAATCACAGTGTGAGAGTGAGAGCAGTAAGGAACTCACACTTTGCAGACAACTATGTTGAAGTAGTGAGAATTCTGTTAAACTCTGTTAAAGTAAAGAATGATCACCAAAAATAGCTGTTTGCTTTGGAGTTTGGAAAACAACAAATTCACACGTTTGCAGTCATATTGCTGTCGTTTGTGTGTCACCCAGTTGCCCAAAAGCAGATGGTTATTTTTCAGTATTCGATATGCCTTTTAGCAATTATTAATCACCTGCACACATAGTGGAGCATGACCCCAAAAACCCCTTAATCCTAATTAAAATAATCAAATCACCTTCGAAGTAGGAACAATCTCTTAAACACAGAATAAAACACATCTTCGCCTCTGACTTTACTGTCTCTTTCTGTTCCCAATCAAAGATTTTTCCTTGGCCACTTGCTACATTCTCTAAGAGCTCACATGATACTCATCTGCTTCCAATTAGGGGGAAGATACAGCCCAGCGGGTGGGAATATTTCTGCCATGGGCAGGCTGTCAGTGTGACTTGTTGGTTTTCAAAGTAACTATGGGTGCCAACTCATTTAAAAATCAATGAAGTAGCAATTAATAATGAATGAAACTATACATATACAGTTATGTTGCAGTTATGATGGCAAACTGTTGGCAGGCAAAAATACGAGCAAAACACTTGTCTATAAGCCATTATTCAAATACTAGAAACTTTAATAATTACGTGATTAGATACACTTGAATTAATGGGTCAGCAGTAAACATCTCTGAGTAGAAATCACTAGAGGATTAACTTTAGATGGTTTACCAGTTATAATGGATAAGCCATTAAAGTGATAACCTTAAAGGTTACAGTTTATTATCTGCAAAGAATGGATTGCGCTCATAACAGTTAACCTGAAAACGGTACAATAATCACAAATAATTGCTCTCCTTATACATTTTTTTGCAAAAATATGTCTGAATATGCCTACAATTATTTAAATATATTTGGTTCATTGTTTTGTAGCTGTTACTCAAGCTTGACATTGTAACCTAAACATGTATTTGACAAAATAGTAAGAATTATGTCCTTCATAGAAAACTAGCATACTTAGTGTTTGGTCACCTGGCAATAAAACTATATGTAAAGATTTGTAAAATATGTTTTGGCTAAGGTCAGGTTTACTGTGTTTCCCGCCCTGCTGCACATTGCCAAAAAACAAACAACTGATTCAATCAGAGCATCATCTGCTGGAACAAAGTATGACGTCAACCCTTCGCCAGGTCTATTAAACATTTTCTGCACATTCACAATGGGCACCTCAACTGAAATGACCATCTAAGATATTTGATCATGCAATCTGAGTATCACCAAACGCCTCCAAAATATTGCGATGCAACAGAGGAACATGACCAATGTGTTACTGCAAATTGTAGCACTAGTTCTTTAATGAACTACTGAATCATCATGAGCACCAACCAGCAGGACTGTAAAGGAGGCTGGTTTCTTTTTAACGTGCAGATATTATAATCAGGAACCTCATTTTTACAAATCACTTGTTTTTACTGTAACATCCACACAAAGGGAATTTATTTTCCAAGCGTAACTATAGGCCATTTTGTCCTGTATGAACAAAACATCTAGAAGGGAGGTCATACTTGGGAGGCACAATCATTTTGACAATAAACATGTTGTTTTAATACAAATAAAGAGCATAAGGGTCTTGGAAATATAATAATGGGTGGACTCACTTCTCTCGATCTGTCTACAGGTAATGCAGATACTCACCTCCAGGTATACTGCCCAGGGCATGACCAGTGAGGCCACCAGCAGGTCGGCCACAGCCAGGCTGACCACCAGGTAGTTGGTGGTGGTCTGGAGCGAACGCTCTCTCAGCACAGCCAGGCACACCAGCACATTTCCAAACACGATGGCCAGGATGAGCAGAGAGTACAGCATGGCATAGTAGTTGCGCTCCCCTTCATCCTTCCCTAAATCGTCTGAGCTCTCATTCCTCTCATCCCATCCGACGCGGTCCGACTCGTTCCAGAGCTGCTCTGAGCTGCTAAACATGGCCATTGAGACGTCCCAGTGACATTGGAGGTGAGATGGTTGGCAAGCCTACCCACAGAAAAAGATAAATAAATCTTTAGATTAACAAGCACAAATGTTTTATTTCTCACGCCTAATGGGGAGTTGCCCCCTAGCAACAGTAATCAGTTGAACTGACAAATTCTGATTTTTTTTCCTGCACTTTGCATAATTTCAAGTGTGCTCTTTGCAAAGTGTTTTTTTTCTGCTGATTGAGAAACTGAGGCCCATAACAATGAGATGACCGTCAATCACCTTTAGCAGAACTGTAAACTCATGATAGCGAGCTCCCACTGTGTGGCACATTTAAGATTGCTCCAGTCAGCATTTCAGTTGTTCCCCTTTAATTCCCCTGCATGGTGAGAGAAACAGACACCGCAAAACAGAAGGGCTAACTTTAATGAGGGGCTGGCAGCCTTGTTTTTAACAGGTCAGGAAGGTTTGCTCATTTTAGAGGGATAATAAGTCCACACTGCCACCCTGAGCAGGCCGGTTGGCTATGGTCCCACAGCCTGTTCCTCGCCCTCCCTCCTTCTTCTAATTTATCTTCAAGCATTCCTATCTGCCGCAGGTCCAGTTGCCAGAGATGTGGTAACGCTCACACCTGTGTCTAGATGGTAAACAAAATGATCCATCTTATTCAACTGTCTGCTCTAGCAGAAACAACAGAAAGGAGAAAAAAATCTGATCATATTCAAACCTGGCACCTTCCCAGACTCTTAAAGATTTCCTGTGTCTATAATCCCACTCCTGAACAACCGAAGAATCAGTATTGTTTTTCACAAGAGAAGCCAAAGAAACAGGCACGGATACCTTTCACCTTCAAGTCTCCTATAAAAGGTGTACCAGTTAGACTACCACAAAATGTAATGATCTTTATAAAACATTTCTGGAAAACCATTTGTGTTTACACAAAAGCACATCCTTAAATGAGTGTGCTTATCTAATTCATGGGGGGATAAAAGGTCACATACTACTTTAATAAAGGTTTGTTTCCACTTGTAAAAACAAGTGCCACTTAAAAACGGATTGCCCTCCTCACTCTGTTGTCCATGCCAGCTCCCACTGGTGTTGTCAGGTTCTCTCAATGTCATGCAGTGGTCTGAACACGATGTCACCATATGTGATGGACATCACCAAACCCCTCAGCTCACACATGTATGCTCTCACACATTTGTTGGGTTTAATTTCAATACATATGAAACATAACGACCATTTGAAGTAAAAGCATATTTTTTTAGGTTTATCAGAACTGATTTTTCTTACGTGTTGGTGATGTGAAATTTAATACAAGTGCCAAGCAGTCAAACCCTAATCGAACAATTCAATAAGATCTCACTAGTGCTCATGTTAACTACAGCAAGTGTCACACATGAAGAAGTACACAAATGTCACTTCACTGTGTGATTTTCCATCGCAGCATTTGCTGCAGGAAACACTGAAGGCTCAAAACAGCAGATAAACTGACCAGTCGCAGAACATATGGAACAGAAAAGCTCATAGACACCACGCAAAAACGCGTGCCAGGGCTTTGATGCGTTTTGCTCAAAAACTAAAAGTGTGAAGACTTTCGTACCTTTCACCGTTCCCCAGCCCAAAATTCATCAGATGCCACGGTGGAGGTGAATCGTCCTTCCAGCGTAAAAAGTTATCCGGTCGGAGCGTCCAGCGGCGGGAGGAGCGCCCGGTGCCATTGCGCACGGCTAAATGTGAATGGAGGAAGCTTGCCGAGGAGCCCGCTTAGCTCGCGCTCAATTACACCATCTCCTCGAGATCTCCTTGGCAGTGAAAGAACCGCTAACACGCGTGGAGCCCTTTTGCGCTCTGATTTTTTACGGCCAAGGCGCGTGAGTGATGATATCAGGTGTTCCCCTTTGCGCTCCTGGCAAATGAGGGCGACCTCCTATTACATGCAGAAAATCTGCTTTGATTTCACATCTAAATGATCGTCACTGATTTATTATTTGTGTTAATGGCAGCAATTATCCGCTCTGCGTGGCTTGTGCTAAGATCCCGTCCCATGTTTGCATCCCTCATGACCCTGAGCCAGTCTGGGTCGTGCGTTGCTGGAAGTGGCATTCAAATAAAAATAGCCTAATGACGCCCTCATTAAGCATCCAGATGAGAGAACCAGTCAGACCCTGAGAGCACAAATTAGGTCAGTCTGGGGAAAAATGTACAGCCCGGTACACCTTTGTGTCCCTTTGCATCCTGCGAGTCCTTTTATAACCTTTTCAGCCCAGACCTGCAAGAAAAAAATAAAACTGCAAAGCGGATAAGGACTATCTGGGGCTTGTGTCTTATATCTCACGTTCCCAGACGATGTGCTTTGTTTTGCTGTCTGCTTTATTTAAGATAAGGCTGTCAGCATTGCAGGAGGCCCTGCGGTAAACACCAACCAACTGAGATGTGGAGCAAACCGTATTAAATGTGGCAAAGAATTCTGTTAAAAATACAGCTTTCAGATATTTATTTAAGCTGGTTGGGGAGCTCTGGCACTGTGTACTGCATCAAACAGCTTATTGCAGTGTAAATGAACAAATGTTCCTTTTCAGGTCGTTAGACTCCAAAACCGTGGCCCTGCTGTAAATGTTTTATTATAAGGCCTTTGTTAAGTGCAATTTAAAAAGAAGCGGGCAGCAGGAAGTTGATGGCCTGTTGTATGTAACCCCAGCAGCGGACAAGCAACAGAGAGCCGGTCCTTTTCCACTCTAAACCACGCACTAGTTGGCAATTTAACTCATGTGAAAGTGTCCAGATGTCCTTGACGCTCAGTGGAAATCTGACCTATCTCTTCCCTTGAGTAGAGGGCTGCCCACATCCTGTAGACAAAAGGAATAAGAATCTTGGCTTAAAACAATGGTCTGGCATTCAATAAAATACGTTGAAGTTTGACTTCAGAGCACAATGACACTTCCTCACATTTAAGATTACCTTTGCACCGTTTACTTACATAATGCAACTTGAGATGGAAATCCGTCTCAGCCTCTTCTACTCCAGCGGCAGCTGGTGGAACTGTGATGTGATGTGATTCCTTCTTGATTGGCTATTGCCTCACTGAGTTAGTGATTTATGACCGAGAGTTGAACAAGAGCTGGAGTTAGGTGCTGTGGGTCAGAGCTTCCACCAACTCCATTACTTTAGACGCACGCTGTCAAAAGCCATCTTCCTGCTTCCGCGCAGAGATAATAACACTCCACCCCAACACAGAATGAGGGGCGATAGGACAGGATGGTGGCAAGTAAAGTGCTTTCCATGTGAATGAGGGATGCGGGGATCCTTTACAGAGCCTGATCTGCCCTTGTGCAGATCAGGCTTTTGACAGCTACTCACAGAGCTACTGCTGTCAGGAAGTATACATATCTGTCTAGATAAATATCAGTATGAAGGTCAGGCCTGAGATAGAACTGCTGCAATAATCATAAAAGACAGCGGTATTACAGAAAAAAGGAGATTTTTTCTTGAGTGTTGGTGAAATGTTGCTGCCATCTACTGGTTCACCAGCACAAACACTTAGACTGAAGCTCTGGCATTTGTTTCGGGAATGTGTTGTGTCATTAGAAAAGCAGCTTTCTGATGCCGATGAGTTGTTGGTCATCCGGGTTCATATTATACAAAAACAATTCTCTAAACTGAAATCCATCTCCAGTCATGTAGATAACAATAACAGAATTGTTGTTTAGGAACCCAAAGTGAGCAGGTCATGTATGTAAACATAACATCGCAAGGAGGAAGCAGATAAACATGAAAGAATGCAGTACTCCTCTAAGCTGATTGGGGGGACTGATAAACTTTTCTAGGCATCAACTGCCTTAAAGTTTACAGATGTTCCACTTAAATCATACAGATGTGGATCAATAAATGACTAAATTCACAAGAATAATGATTTGATCTAATTTATATATTTTTTTCTTTATCTACTTTATCAGGAACAAAGGCACCTCTAAAGAGTAAACAAAACTGTCAAGTTTCCATATTCTTTTATCTAACTTTAAAACCAGAAAAACTGGTAAAACAAAACTGTAAACAAAAAAAGATCTCACAAAAAGGGGTTTAGTGGCTTACAAAACTTTATTAACATTCAATAACACATCCTATGTGCGTGTTCTGGACATGAAGGCCACTTGTGGCCTTTATGCAAAGGACCCTGTTATTGTGATTAAAAATAATTTACAAATTACTGTAACAATCTCTTTGAAAGTAACTTTTAGAAGCTGTAACAGCTAAAGTAACAGTCAACAGTAACATATTTCATAGATGAGTAACGTATCAGCTGCATATTCATTCATTAAAATATGGAAAACAAAGCAAATTCCAGGCTGGATTATTTTCCTGCTAGTTCGATCCATTCAGAGTACCCGCCTTTGTAATGCCTTGCCCTGAGGAAAAGAAGGACAGAAAAAAAACTAATCAATTTATATTTCTTCAACAAGGTCGTCCAATATTAAACATGTCCCAGCTGCATCTGAAGTCTATGTGAAGCACCAGGACTGTAATCACATTCTATGATGTGCCATTCATTTGTACTGGCAGATAAGATGTGTACAGAATGTCATCTTGATGAGCATCAGTCTCTATTTACCTGCTAAAACCCAGCCGGTGGGCGATGTCCAGCGCTGCTAAGCTCCTTTTTCCGCTTCTGCAATGAAATACGATGTTGTCGTCGTCCTTCTCGGGAGATTTCACATTAAACTTCTGCTTAAAGATCTCAGGGGACAGCTTCAGAGACTCCTCCAGGGTGCCGACTGAGAAGCGTTTCCAAACATAAAATGTTAACAAGCAATTCCAGCTCAATACAAGACTGTGCGTGTGCAACCTACGTGGAATGTTGACAGCTTGTGGAATGTTGCCATCTTGGTATTCATCTGGGTTTCTCACATCAAAAAGCTGAATGCTTCGGTTTGCTAGCATGGTTACCAGCTGAGAGTGGGTCACCACTAAGGTGTCTTAGAGGGGGGAAATGCACAGAAAAAAGGGAAAGCTAAACTGGTGCACTTAAGCTTGTTTTCAGTACCAACATTTAAAGTTACCATTCACTGACTGAAACTTGACCCCTAAACCCCTGCTATTCTTCTGTTTCCCGCACTGACACATAACTAAACTCTTCTACAAACCCACCTACAAATATTGATTTAGATATTGATTTATTGATAGTTTATCCCCGTCAGACATAGTTTTCCGAATTAAATAGAAACATGTCAGTCAACCAAAATCTGTGTTTCAAACCGTCGCACTGTGACCAACATCCGGGTAACCATTTGGCTGCAAGGTCTAAACACAAACAACCTCACTTACAGGGCACATTATTCCATCCTGGAGCTTCAACAACGCTTTACATGGTGTTTTTAAAATAACACACGAGGTTACGGAGTGATTCTAACGAGCCAGAGCAGACTGGACAAACCAGCGGAGTTAATTCATTAAGTCAATTACCATTGTCATCCACTCCTCCGCAAGTGGGACCGGAAGTGGTAAAAGTCCGAATAAACGATGCAAAGCTCGTGTACGGTTTGAGGTTGGCCTCCGTAACCACCTGGCAAAGAGTTCGAGAGAGAAGCAGCGACAACATCGCGACGACAGGCACGCAGCTCGGACTGCGGTTAAATGAGTTCATGACGTCTGTGTTTACACTGGCGTCGCTGAAATAACGTATTCTTCTTCTTCTTCTTCAACCTTTATAAAAATACAATTCTTCTTCTTTGGGTGTTATGACAAGCCGGTGTTGTTTGTTTCACTGCCCCCTCTGGCCGTCCCTCATTGACCTTCATCAACTGCCGTCGTTTGTATTCTTTAAAGAACTTTTATATCAAACATTCACAATCACAGTGAAATTCTTTCTGTATAGTAAAACAGCATACTGAATCAATGAATGAATACATATAATCTTTTATTAATCGTTTAATCTCATCAGTTTGTTGTTCTCCCTTCTGCTTTTTTTGTTAGTAGAAATATCATATGTATGTTAAACACACACACAGACACACGCACATAAACACGTATACATAGTATATGTGTACATCACAGCTATACATGGTAAATGTGTGCGTGTGTTTTACAAAGTCTAAACATCAAACAAAGCATTGCCTGTAAAGAAAAAATTTTATGAAAAGAATTCTGCATAACTGTTGCTGAACTGTTTTGCTTCATTTGCCACTCTGTTTGCTCATCTAGTTATCTGGATGCTTCAACAGAGTCAGCAGTCACAGACCAATCTCAAATGTTCCTGACATCAATAGAATTATTGGAAACATAACATGTTCCAGATTGATGACATTCTTGACACCTTTAGGTTTTCATTAACATCACAGCTCTGAAACTGCTCACCTAAAGTTTTTTAATGATGTTCTCCTGAAAGATTCATGGAATCTGACAGTTGTAGTGTCACTAAATCTTGTTTAGCGTTCAGTCCTATTGAATTTTAGATAAACTGGAAAACTTGTCTGGGTTCTCATCGTAATCAGGGCAGAGGGTTTATGTGGTTTGTAGTGGTTAGAATCAAAGTACTGCAATGATATATGAAGACTCATATGATCAGTTCTCTAGTCCCTTTTCAATCGGTAGATCCTTCCAATTCTTAATTTTCTCCAAGACTCCGAGGATGCTTGTCCCGGCTACGTAAATGAGATCCTTATCTGTCGGTACTCCAACCAAATGATTACTGGCCTGTTCCGTCTCTGTCTGGAGAAAGTTAACAACTGGCATCTTTCTTTAATTTAAACATAATAATGATTTCAAGGTGGTATGGGGAGTAAAATAAGAGCTCACATGACCCAGTGTTAAAAACATTTATTTTTACATTTAAAAAATCTACAAACCATTGCTAAAGAGAAGCTTGCGAAGAATCTTATGATGAATGTAAAGTATTGTGAGTCTTTGCTTTTTTTTGTTTCTTTGCAGATTTTACAATACAAGATATTCTTCCCTTCACCCTTCACTATTCAACAGTTGATCATCATTTGTTTTTGTTTTTTTATTCAGCCGATGTGGCATTTCTCCTCCACAGCTTAAAGAGCGCACACTTGTGCTGTTTTCACAGTTAGTAGGCAAATCCATGGGGTTTGAGAGGGAATGACATCCTGGTCCGACAGGACTGGCTTGGCTGCTGAGCCTTGCAAAACACACCCATAATCTATTCTTGCCAGGATTAGTACTGTGCTTCTCTATTTCAGCACTGCAACATCAGCTCCTGATTCTGGTCTCATTGGACATCTCATGAGAGTAATGACTTTCTGCCTCCTCTTTACTATCCCACCAACATGTTCCCTTTTATTTTGGGATAATGATGCACTATGAAAAAATGTATAATTATTTATTTGTGAAAAATATATATTTCATGAAAAGAAAATACCATTCAATTTTGATTACTGCTTTTATAAAAAAAATAAAAAAACTTCCCTCTTTTCTTCAATAAAGCACATGCGTTCTGATTTTTTTCACTAAATAAGACCAGAGCCAGAACATTCTCGGGGATGCAGGGCATTTAAAACACCAGGCAACAGTTACAAAGTGGTAAAAAACATTGTACTTAAAAAAAGCAGAAATCCATTCCGTCTGTTGTTTAATTCACAGTGGCCTGATATATGCTGTTAGAGTTCAGTGTTTTTGCAGTTCTGTTTCATGCCTCAAAGACATTTTGAGCATCCACAACTTCAGCAACTTTGGGAATTTAAACAGTTCTCATTTTGGACTGAAGTCAAGCAAAGACAGCAGAAGCCATCTTGAAGGCTTGTACACTTTCTCTGCAAATCTTCCAAGTCGAACTCCCATCAAGCCCAGCAGACAGATAATGGACCGATTGAAGTCTTTCCAGCTTTAAATACAGCTCACATCGCAAGCACATTATTCAAGCTATATCACCCTTTGCATCTGAGTTTGAAAAGTATGAGTTTGGTGTGGCTTGTAAAAATAACAACAGTGTAGATATTTTAACAATACAGAACTGACTATTTGTTTCAAACAGTGCCTCAGATAAGTTCTTCTTGTTAGGTTTTAACCACGCTTTTTCGTCACAAGAGAACAACCCCTCTGAAAATCCTCCTTTTTCTTGCTGCCATTACATGCATTTATCTGTCTTCATAGTAAAAGGAAACAGCCCTCCAGTGACCACTCAACACCCACAGATGGATGAATGTTACATGCAGCTAAGCACATCTGCCCTCAGGGGAAGTTTTCCCCGTCTGATGGCATGATGAAGTGTGAATATTTTCAGCGCTGCCTCGTTATCACGGCTGAACACCGTCATCAGCGCTTGTTAGAGCATCCCATAACTGACCCTCAAGATCTCCACTTCCATAAATCTGCTGCTACAGTTTGCAGATACTAAACGTGTAAATCAGTTTTGTCCGTAACAACCTAAACATTTGCAATAACTGCATGACAACTTTTGGCAAAACCTTAAAAAAAGAGCATTTTTCTGTGAGAATCTTTAACCTGCCTTGTTTATGTGCATCGCTCTGAGCTGGCTGTGCAGCACTGTGGGGTCTTTCGGTTCGGAGACAATTGACATAAGATTCGAACAGAAATGCTGATATACTTGGAACTTTCAGGATATAAGGAGATAAAAGCGACAGAATTTTTCTTCTGCTAAATTTAGTCATAACTAATTTTATTGCTGAGTCCGCTGTTCGGTTTTGCTGCAGGTCTCTGCTGATATTACTGTCGGCATCAGCAGGAAATTATTTTATTTTTCACTCAAAAACGCTCACACAATGTCGTGAATCCAGGTCAGGTGGAGAAATTTAGAATAAAAATTAATCTTCTATTTCACAGTAATAAATCTGTTAAGGATGAGAAAATCAGTTCCGAGTCCGCTGATTAATGATTTGTCCCACTTGTACAGAATATGTCCTCACTCTGCTCTCTTTTTGTTTTAAAAAGCAATGACTCAAGAAAAACAGCTGTCCAAGCAGCAAGCAATGTTGAGAGTTTTTCAAACACGCTCAGAGTAAAGTTAATGACACAACACAAGCAACACTGTGAGAAACTTTTTAGAAAACATGTTAATAGATCTTATTGATCTTAAGGACAGAGTGCGGTCAAGGGTGTCACTTCATTCAATGGTTTCAAAGTCACGAATCAAATAATTTTTAAGTCTTAGTAATCAAATCTCAGTTAACACAGATTACATTTACATCAGATAGTGTGTGTTGCTCTAAAAAGTGAGAAACTGAAATGTTTCAGTGGGGAAATACAAGGAGTCTTTGTAGGGTTTGTAGACACCTGGGGTGCTTTAAATCTGGGCGGGTTGAGGAAAATGGCAGAACCCTTCTACTAAATCAATTACCTCTATGTTTTATGCTCGGGTGGACATCAAGTGTGGTAGATACATCAGTTGTATCTGTTATGTGGATGTCTGCAAATAAGAGTTTTTTTTTATACCACGTGCTCTCAGGTCACACTCTTCCACATACTAATTACTGAGTCTCCCCCACGGAGGCCAGACAAAAAGACTGCAAGAGAGGCTGAACAAACAATGCAGAGATTTTTCTGTAGCTCTGCAACTGTCTGACCTCTCCTGTGGGAGCTATTTACGGCAGTCGTTCTGATTAGCAAATAGCTGTCTGTTTTGTGTTCCTCTGAGATTATTTCACTTGTCCATACTGAATGTTAACTTGAAAAGAAAAACAATTGTAATGCATTTCCCAGCATGAGGCGTTTGAGGAGAATGCATTGAGTAACTTCTCCTGGTTTTAAGAGTGGTTCAACTACTGATACTTAAAAGGCACTGTGTAGGAGATTCATGTAAAACTAATTCAATCAAACTTGTACATAATACATACGAAGGAGGGACCTGATTATTTCAGCCAATTTAACCATGTGTCTTTGAGAACCGTGATTTGCAGCAGTCCAAATCCAAAGATAAAAAGAAGGCGAACAGGAAAAGGAACGTTGGAATTATGAAACTGTTTGGTTATCTCATGAGTCATCTTCTAAAAACCTCCACACCTCACACTCACATGATTTTTCCAATACACTCCCCTGACTAACATCTACCACCTCGGCTTCCCAGCTGCGCGCTGTACACAACGTTTATCTGTCACACGGCCACTCCCCGGACTAAACCATGCGACCGCTGAGGGGGGTGAATGTAGGAGTATGGGGAGGGTGGGGGGGTAAATATGTGTTCACACAAATATATACTACTCATGTCACTGACATGTAATAAAAAACATACTAATTTACTATACTTAAAGGCTTCTTGACATTTTACCAATTATGTTCAAAATGGTTACCCACCCATGCTTATGGTACACCCCAAAACTGATCATATGACACACTGAGTCAACATGAACGCTTAAAAAGAACAACCTCCCTCGGTTGGGTTAGTTTTTACAGTCAGTCTTTGAACTAAATTAGAGAAATTGTCGCGATGCCGATGTGTGGAGGAACCTCTGAGGCAAAGGACGCCGATGAAAACGTCCAGCAGATCTGCGATCAGGTAAGGAGAGGAGGCCTATGTCAATGCTATGTCAGTGGTCAGAACTTTTGTCATCTGCCGGGGCCTGTGTGTAATTCCCCCCTCATTGTTTCCCAGATGAAACCTCATGCGGAGCAGAAAGCAGGAAAGACATTTGATGTGTTCACTGCAAAAAGCTTCAAGACGCAGGTCGTTGCTGGGACCAACTACTTCATCAAGGTAATGATGGTTATTACCGGATTCAAAAGAGCTTCTAAGGAATGATTGGCGGTTTTCCCTTTCTTGTATGCACACGATGAAAACTTGTTTGAAGTGTTTTTAGGGGCTCTTCAGATGACAGATTACGCAATCCCTATCAGTTATTCCTTATTCAAAAGCAAAGAAATAACGTGATGAGTGTGTTGTTGTTCAAAGTTATTACTCTTATGTATCGTTTGTGTATGTCTTTTTGTTTTAAACAATTAAGTCTTTTTACACCAGACTCATGAAGGTGACCAAAGTGAACTGCTTGTGAAGTACAATGTAAATTAATTTAAATCCAAAACATGTCCAATATTGCTCAGATGACAAAAAAGAATATAATTCAATATTTCATACCTAATTGATACTGAATACAGTTTCTAGAAGAGGGATGTCCAGTTTGATGGCAGTGCTGTGAACTTTCTGTGTACTTCCTTTCAGGTCCATGTGGGCGGAGATGATCATATTCACCTCCGGGTTTGGCAGAAACTCCCATGTAATGGAGGAGAACTCGAGCTAAGCAATATTCAGCACTCCAAAAGCCACCATGATCCAATTGAGTACTTCTAATACCATGTTGATTGCAGACCAAGCAAACACCCAGTGCCTCCAGGCTGCAGTCTAATTGTAATCAGTTAATATCTCGCCTAATTCTGGTAAATAATGTTTTATGCAGTTACTGTGTCTCATATGTAATAACAAACTGTACGTGCACTGTAGGTCATAAACAATAGGGGTGTATTTCTAATTGTATTCCTAAAGGGAACAATTTTTTTTACAAGATGCATGAATAATAAAGCAGATCTGTTGTGATTTCATTTTTTCTCACTCCACTTTCTGCTGTTGTGTGTGTGATGTGTGAACTATCTTCATGCCTCGTGGCCACTCTGAGTTCAGCTGGAAAAGCGTCCAGACACGGTGGCAAATAACAATTTTGAGATTGTCATTTACCAAACAGTATCGACCCAAACAGCAGACTCCTCAGTTTCTTTTTAAAAGACATATGGCACAACACAGCCCTTTTCCAATCTCCAATGATCCAAATACTGTACCTCTCAGACAATCAAATCCCAAATATTTCATATAAAAGTATATTTAGCTTTATTATTGAGAGCTTTGAGTCATTTTTATCACTTTTATAAAATAAATTTATAAAAGACAACTGACATGGACATGACAGCTGGATCATTTTAGGTGACGGAACCTTTCTGTACAAAAAAAGGACTAAATATTTAGTGAAAGTTCAATACAAAGCTTATAAAATGCAAACATACATTTAATGTTGTACTGCTGTTCCATCATCAGTATAATATAGATACAACTTCTAAAAGAAAATGAACCTCTAACCCTAACCTATGAAATAAAACAAAAGTAGATGTAAGTAAGTGTAATTTCACATTCTGTTGAAATACATGGAGATCATTGATGGGTGTCACTTTCAACACATTCCCTCCTGTTGTGTTATTATTTTCCATCGTATGAACCCACAAGCTTGTATGGCTACTCCTGACGGTAAATAGTCCCATCAGCTGTTCTGTACCTTCAGCTGCTTCATTGTGTCAATAAGAATCCTGATAGGATTCCTCAGAATCTTGTTCATTCTGCAACACGCTGTTTGACCAACTCCCTTTTCATGATTTGATTATGAAATCACACCGCAGCTGTGTCAGCATTGTTTTTTTTACATCAGGTTTTGTCATGTCTGTTTAATCTTGTGACTGAAGTTTCTATTTTTTCAGCACAAACTACGTGACTGATACTTGGCATGAGAACTGAAATGTTCACCACTGTTCAGTCTGTCGTTGAAAATCTTTTGAATGCTTTGTGGATCCAGACGTCCCATACCCTCCTCCTCCTGACTGATAAAGTCAAATTCTCCTTTGGTCTCCACAAACCTTTTAGCTTAGAAATTGATCGGTGTCCAGGTCTTGGAGATGTGAAAAATTCAAACTGAATATTGAAAAATCAGCCCCGGAAACAATTTTTTTCTTGGCACTAGATCCACTTTTCACTGAGATAAAACAGTTAAAGTGTCCATTTACTTATATGGAGAAATGTAATCATACGCACCATACTTTGTGCTGGTATGAACACAAAACAACATGCAGCTACATCAGTCAGGGGCAGAAACAGAATAACTAAATAACCTTTAAAGGATCAGAAAGGGTTGCTAATGTTAGTTTCTGCACCATTGAAAAGTTTAAAGGATTTTCTATTCAAAAGGACTGACATTATTTCAAATATGGCTTTACTTAAGTTTGATTATTCATGTTTCACCCCAAATCCTTCCCTTTTCTGTCCATGTAGGAGTTTTTTTTTTTTTTTTTAAATAGTCTTATTAGACAGGGGCTCAACAACACAGTAACACTCTATGAGTCCATGAGTAGCCCTCTAAGAGATTATCTTCAAGATCACAGCCTTTAGCTCTGCACCTACCTATCAAACTATGCGGATGAGGGTGGATGTAGAATAATTGGTTAAACAACAACTCTTCTATTTTGGGCTGATAAAGGGTTTTCATTCATTTATTGAAATACTAAAATCAGCCTCTCCTTTGGCATGTCACCACACAGTTATTACAAACAACACATGGAGGCCAGTGGAAATATTAATTCAGTTTTTATGTTTGGTAAAAAACCAGATTTTGAACCTCCTGAGTGTGATAGCTGAAAAATGTTCCCGAATATTTTCCCAGAAGGAGAAATCAGCATCAGCCTTAAAAACGTCAAGGGTGAATCAGCGTTATTAACTTCCTCGGAATACTCAAAAAGTAGGGAAAACACAGAAAACAGAAGTCGCTTGAAAACGGTTCACTTTCTTTTTAAAAAAAAAAACAGTTCTTCCAAACAGTGAGGCTCTGTAAGGAAGCAGACAGATAACTCTTTTACAGCGATGGTAATGCAGTACGATAACATGGAATATGAATGAGGTGTGGAGGAGGTCAGAGTCCTGACTGCAGGACCCAAATGGCTCACAGTCTCAGCTCCAGTCTGGGTTTGTACTCTGAACAAAAGCACCTTCAGAGCTTCACTTAACCTTTGGAGGCGTGTAGTGGATTCTGCACCTTTCACTGAAGACCTGGACAAAGGAGAGCAGCTCAATGTCATTAAGAAAATATTCATGGACTTTGAAAATTGATCATAAGACCAATGACAAGTGTGAGTTGACTGTACCTTCAGACTTCTATCATTGACAACTTCTTCAACATTCAGCTCCGACTGCATTAGCTTTAACTACGGACAAAAGAGGGAAAGCTGTTAACGTTCTGCATAAACTGGAGAACAGATTCTTTTTGTGTCTGCAAAGTAGAAAAGAAAAGCCTTAATCACACTGCATCCAAGTTGTATATACAGCAGTTATCTTTGTTTTAGGCCTTCTTATATTCCATATTATTTCCTTAAATTAAGACTGAATAGAGAATAAAGACCTTTATTACTTCTTTGGCTAAAAGTACAAGCCCGGTATTAGAGGTAGGCTTTCATTTTGAACTCTCACTATTCTGAAAAGGAAATAACTTAGATGATGGGTACAACTCGGATTCTTGAAGACCGATTATTGTGGAAGATGACCAGCAGAGGGAACTGATGGCGTGTTGCTGCTGCCATCCATTGGATTTAAAACACAACTACAGCTGGATGTGAAACATCATGTATACGTGTGAAACAGGCACAAACCTTGCAGAAAGACATTCATGATGGACTTACTTTGGTCTGCTCCTTTCTGAGCTGTTTGAGTAGCGTCAGGTTTTCGTCATCCTTGGCCCGCTCTTCACGCAGCTGTCCCACCACCTCAGATGTTTGCGCTATACAGGCCTTGATAGATTTATCTCTGCTCAGATGGGCTTCCATCATCTGTGTGATATACACATTTTAAAATAAGTAGAAACCAGGTAATGACTGTGCAATAAGCCAGGAAGTCATGCATGTCGGGCCAGTGCGGACGCATCATCTCTATATTGTGACTCACAGACTCGTAGAGTTCTTTGCATGTTTGCGTTGCATCCACTTTTCCTGAGAAGGAGACTGTGGGCACAGTGGTGTTCAGGGCGTGGACTATGCGGTCATCTATGGTGCGCATCACCTTCAGCACCTCCTAAAAACAGATTGATAAAAAAGACTGAAAACTGCAAAGACAGGGAACACATTTTTGGTTTTATCAATCTGTTAATCTAAAATACTTTAGTCTGACTTTAATTATTCTAGATGGAGCTGTGGACTAAAGTATTTTACCCTAGTACCTACATCATCTCAGTAATACAGCAGTCTGAAAATAAAAGCAGAGCGCTTAAAAGGCAGCTTTATCATACAAACAAGATATAAAATTAACATCAGACAGTGTGTTTTAAAATAAAAAAAGAACATAATCAAACCTTAAAGCTCATGTAGCAATGCACATCAGAAATTCTGATACAATAGCTTTTAAAATGAGAATTTTTTAAAAAGACTTTTGGATCAAAAGGATTTTTTTCCCAGTTTTCTCCCTGTGAATGATTTTGAATTATGCAAATAATGTCACAGACTTTTAGAGGTTTGATCAAAAGGTATTTATTCAAATAATGTATTTTAAATACACTGAACAAAGTATGTGAAACAAGGACTTTAAAAAAAATAGTTGTCACAAAAAACATTACGTGTCAAGTCTGCCAATTGTTTATGAAATAGCATTAGTCAAATGTCCAACTACTCTTTACCACGCTGAAATTGGAAATATTGCATTCAATGAAAAATAATGTATCGAGAATATCTTAGTTTACACCATGTTACTAAAGTCAAAGTGTACATTGAGTCATATCCTCGCGAATTAAATTCAAAGTCGAATGCAAACATGTCCAGAGTTTGACTTACAAAACTTGTGTAACTGTCCAAATACTTATGGATCTGTTAGCATACATTGTTTTTTAAAAAAGAGAATAAGAAACTTGTTTGAGTTTAAGAGCCTACAAACAGTCAGCAAGCCACAGCTTGCATACTGCTCTGGTAAGAGGGTCTGAACTTTTGAGTGACGATAACTTTTTAAATGATCCTTCCACCTTTCAGTCCTGTAATTCCACCTGGATCCTTGAACCTCGCAGGGAGCAGAGTGCTACCATGAAGTGAGCAGGAGGGTCACCTTACAGACATTGTTGGACGTCAGGCAACTGACCCAGCGAAATCTAAGCAATCGGAACGATGTCACTCCGTGAGAATTCTGGAAATATCGATTAATACTTTGCATAAATTACCTGAAACATCGAAAAGTCCTCACAGTTTAAAGTTCCATCGGGCGCCGCCATGATGGCCTGGAGGGTCCTCGAAGAAGAAGAACGAGGCGGCTGTTCAATAAAGTGCCTGAAAGGATCACACTTAAAACTTACATTATAAATCCGTGTTAGCACTATATCGTTATCTTATTATATTTTTCTAAATCTATATCTGACAGCAGTATAATATGTGGTTTATGAAATACACTATCTAAATAATAACAGGAAAAAAACAATGATTTAATAATTAATACGTTTGCTTAGTTTCCTCCCTTTTAGTTTAGCTCAGAATCTTAAAGTAAACTATCTAAAGCCTCTTGCTCATACTTATCCGCATTAAAAGCAACATTTACCGTAAGATAACCCAGTTACTGTCAGTGACTTGACAATTTTAGGAGCTCATTTCTGACTGTTTTTAACGGCACGGAGCAGAGACCCCAGAACTTACGTGACGGGTCCTGTTCAGGCAGTTAGTTGACTTTCAGCAGCTGCCGGGGGCTGGTGTCTGAGAGGTGGTGTTTGCTACTAGTTTCACAGACACTGAGAGTTTTGGCAATTCGATCAGAAACATGAATTTCCTCAGATCTCGTCTCTCCACCGGTAACCTCATCGGTTCGTATAGTTTACATGAATTTCTGGGTTCATATTTTCAACGTCAGAAAATCGGCATGCACCATTTCCTTGCGAGCTTGTTGATTTTGGTCTGACATCTATGTTGGATTATCATTTAAAGAACATGCCGTCAAAATTGTGTACTTATTTAGTATATTTTTTTCCAGCCGTGTTTTAATTGTTGTTATATTTTGGTAAAATGTTTCTAAATGTAAGGGTATTGTCTGGGCACGTTGTTCTGATAGCAGGTATGATGGTATGATGATAGTTATCAGATTTTGCCTCACGACACCTTTGACCCATTTGTTTGTTCGTTTAATTTTTGTATACTTTTTCTGGCCTTGCTAACTTGCACCAGTTTAACGAAGGAAACATTTTGATGGTCTTATTTGTCACGAGACATATAAACTGAACAGCATCATGGTATTTCTGTTTACGTTACAGTGCGAAAACAAACTAGAATTGTTTCCAACAGTCTGACGATCATGAAGATGATTATGATTTGTGGCTTTGCATTACACCTACACTTGTTATTGTTTCTTCACAGGCCAGAGATGCAGAGGCATGTGCAATAAGCTACAAGAGACCAAGTCCGAATCTGCCCCTGCAGCTCCGGCACAAGGTGGAGTTTTGGAACATAAACTGTTATTTTCCTTTTTCCTTCCTTTGTGTACAAATCAGCTCCATGTCCACTAATCATTTCACTTTTTATACAGATCACTATTGTAGCTCTGATCATTTAGTTTCAAGCCTTTTTAATGTAAACATGCAAAAACTACACAAACTATTTAACTGGGATGAAGGGTTAAAAAAAGAGAGAAATATTATATTGTATATGTGCATCACAGGTTAGTGTTTCCCATAATTAAGTTTGTATGTTTTTTTAAGTTCCCAAATCACCAAGAGGTTCAGTCAGTGGGAATGGAGACACCACATATCACTGCTTTGTCCCTTTTTATGCGGATAAGATGGTTAATAATCTGTTTGTTTTTCCATTATGCGTTTTGGGCTCGATTTTTATATACAGCACCACGACCCTCCTTCAAAATCCCAGGCTACAGGCCATCCGCACTGGACAAGAAGATTTTCTTATGGTCGGGTCGCTTCAAGTCCATGGCTGATATACCAGAGACTGTGTCGTAAGTAGCCCTTTCCTGTTTATTCCAGACCTCCCAGCACTCTTTTCGGAACACAAGAACAGAGCTAACTAACTGGATGAGCGGCCATGCTGTGTGGAGCTGGTCCTCTGAGACAGCTGTAGTTCAAACAAGGCGTCTGTTTATGGTACAAGGTAATTGCTCGGGCTACTGACATAAGGGTGGAGATTGTTTCTGACCGATCTGCTGCTGACATAAGAGATTTGCTTTTCATGCAGTGAAGGCAAAGCTGCCCATTATGTTTTCAAAGGGCTCAGAAACAACAACTAAAATGTGACAAAGATCAGGACACTGTTGGATGACTTAATTGTTGTTAGCATAAATATTGACACAAGATGCTGAGATAAGCTTGAATAGCAGGTAATGATCCTTTATTTTACAGGAACATGCATGTCCTCTATTTTTGTTTTCTGACAATGTGTTTAAAATAATGTTTTTGATCAAAGGGAGTGATGCATACTTGTCTACCCAGGTTTGAGATGATTGATGCTGCCAGGAACAAAATCAGAGTGAAAGCTGCTTATATGATGATGGCTGCCACAATAGGGGCCTGTTTGATTATGGTGATATTGGGCAAAAGGGTGAGTAACGATTCATATAATTCTGCAAATGTGTAGTTTTTAGATCATTATGCGTTTTCTCTGCCTTTGCATCTTTTTTTGTTGCAAATGTTACAGCTATAATTTCCAATAAGTGCATTGAAATGTATACAAAAAAACACATCAAATTAACTATTACAGGCAGCAGGCAGGAATGAGTCTCTGACTACTCACAACATGGAGAAGAAAGCCAGGTGGAGGGAGGAACTTCAGAGAGAGAATGCCAACGCCCTGTCTGAGAAACCTCAGTGAAGAAGCAAAGCCCTCTCTCCTGACACTTTCCCCTAACACTGGCGTAGATTCGACTCTTTCCGATGTATCATAACTCCTGTTGTATGGAGCACAAACTCAAAACCTGAGCAGTTATTACTCAAGTAGTACTTTTTCAACCAGGCCATTTGCTTTGATGCATAACCACTTATGCAGAAATGTGGAAAAGTTCTTAGAGACTCACTTAATGAGGAAACAGCCCAAACAATGCTATGGATGTTTTTGGTTTTCTCAAAGAGAACAGTACTTTTTTGCTTATACGATTTATAGGAGACAGATTCCACTTCTGATAGGATCAGTGCTCAACTATAAGTACTTCAGTATTTAGCCTTTTGGAAGGCAAATAAGCTGTCATTTATCTTTGAACATCATGTGGTGGATCAGAAATGAACGATCCCTCCGTCTTGTCTGCAGACAAATGTAATCAGGGTTTTTTTTATGGTCCTGATGGCTTCTGTGTACATAATGATCACAATAAAAACTTCAGTAAACTAATACATATTGAGATGGTTCATCTTACTTTGTAAATGTGTTTGGCCCAGATAAACAGACTACAGAGCCAAATAAGACATTTCCTCAAAACACTGAGGGTATGCTGGCATTTCCCCAGCATGCTTTGGGTACAAATAAGAATTTGACAACTTGTAACGTGACTAGAAATTTCAGAAAATAGTTTTAACAGCCTGCAGTAATGCTGACTATAACTGCCTTTTTAGGTAGTAAGTTTCTGTTTTCAAAATGTAGGAATTTACCAAAATAATTTGTCTTTCATATAGGAAAAAAGTACCCAAAATTAAAGGAAAATGATTCACTTACCACTGCAGAAGTTCATGAAACAACTTTTATGCAAATGGCATTAACAGAGGACAGATGCACAAACTCAATACAACAAACAGCAAGGAACATATAGAGCTGGTAATCTCTTGCTGAGATTTTGACAAAAGTAAGCAATGCAAAGAGGACTTGGTAAACAAACAACAAACATTCAGCTGTGCTAACTAAAGTGATCACCAGGATTTTCAAGTTTTATTCTGGATCTTTGAAATTATGTGGAAGGATTTCTGTAGAAGGATTATGGCACCATCAGCTACACAAAAGATGCTAACCCTTAAATTTTTATAATAAAAGAAGACCAATCTCAGGCCTAAGGGCTGACAAATGCATAGATTTGGCATGATCAAATTGGAAAATACTACTTGAATGGGTGTTGTCATGCTTTAGACTATCACAGCTAAACAGCCAATTGTTGCTTAGAATAAAGTTCTAGCTTCACTGAGTCAACATGATCTTTTGATTGTGATAAGTGTCTGCTGATAGCTTCAGTCCACAATCTGATTGAGTCTCTTCAGGGAAGGATAAACAGTGTAATCTTTTGAATGCCAGGAGGGGGCCGGGGTTATAGACCACCCATCTTTACACCTCGCTTCCTGAGGAGGTAAGAGCCTTGTCACCAACCAATTAAATAGCTAATGTATAAACTACTGTTGATGAGCAGGCATCAGTCCAGAACTAAAGTGCTGCAAATGAAATGAAATTATGTTATGATAGTAAAAATTCCCGCTGGTTTGCTGCTGGACAGAATCCAAAGTTAAATAGTCTGTTTTGTCTTGTCCAAGTCCATCCAATTGTCTCAGTGCGAGGGAAGACTCCAATTCCCATGGCTCCATGGGGCTATTCACGTCACACCAGGAGGCAGGATGCAAAACTCTTGAGGATGGAGCCTGTGCAGGTGGAAATTTCCCATTAGTAGATAGAGGAATGATATGAAATCCAGGTGGGAGCAAGCAGCCTGGTTAGGGAGGATCCACCCCACAGCCACACAGTCAAATTTTCAATTAGTCTATCTGTGGTTAGAGAGGAGGAAACGGCATCCAACCTCCATTTCTGAGTCATTTAAGTGCCTTTTTCATAAAAGGTTAGAAGAGTCCTGTGAGACAGTCTTACATGTGGTCAAAGTCCCATGGTCAGTCCAGTGCTTAGGTTAGATCATTCTTCTCTGTGTGGAGGGGAAGAGGGGAGGGGGAGACTCGGTTGATGTCTGTCTATCTTGAGAGTCATTAATGCTTCAGACAAGCAGTGCAGTCCAAAACCCCCGCTGACTCAGAGACAGCTCCTGCCAGTCGGACTGGATGAAGGATAGGGGCTCTTTTCTTCCAGATGTACTGGGGAGGAAACCTCCCCCTCCTCCAAAAAAATACAGGGGGAGGCTGTTGCCAGGACAATCTGCCAGCGAGATACTAGGGCCTGAACAGGTCAGAAGGGAGATTAGATGCTAGAGAAGTCAGCACAAAACAAAATAAGTGAAACCTCCACAAACTGGCTGACAAGACTGCAGAAACCGGCCCATGTTCCTTAAATGTTACACTCTTAATAATCATGATAATGATTAAAACCGCCTCCCTGACAACGAGAAGAGGGGCAGGAGGAGAGTAGGCCGAGGGTTGTTTTAACCCTGAATCTTGGCTGCGGGCAGAGACAGAGAAGTAAAGGTAGGTGAGTATGAAGGTGGAGCATGATGGCAAGGAGGGTTTTCATTATAGCTGGAAACCCTCCATGGGGGCCTCGCACTGCTGGAAGAGGAACTGCTGCTGCTGAAGGTCAACGGCCGGAGCCAGAGATGGATCCTCGTCTTCAGTGTTGAAGTAGCGCTCGATCAAGTCGAAGGCTTTCTGGTAGATTTCCTGGTTCTCATGGCCCTGCAGAAACTCCAGCTTGTCCAAACCTGAGAAAAAGAGGGGAGATTACTGGTCCATTTCCAACATTTTCCCAGCCTGAATTTCTTTATACACGTGAAATAATTTTCCCTCTTGGATATGAATTTGTGAAAGTGTATCATCACTCATTAAAAAAAAAAAAAAAGGTGAATTTATGATTTTATGAGCAAGAAAAATGACTAAGTTATGACCAAGATTTCTTCAAAGCTTTGGATAGATGATGTGAAAGAGAATGATCTGCAATTTCCTTTTTAATGTAACAGATCAAATGCTGAATACACTCACCATAGGCCTCTTCAATGAGCGCACAGTAAGGGTTGATGCCTCCTCCTCTTTTAGCCTCCAGTTCCCCCAGTCGCAGGATGTTCTCAAGACCATTTAGAGCCACTTGAACAATCTTGGAATCCATGAGTGTGAGGAGGTCACAAAGAGGTTTTATACAGCCGAGTTCCACTAGATGCCTGTGGGAGGCAGCACACACCACGATTACTTCACCTTTAATCTTTAACTCAAGAGCAACTCTATAACAACTGGATCATTAGGTATTTAACCAGATATAATTGCTCAAAAGCCTCTACAATGTTCATATGTCACCATTTATAATTGTAATTTGTAATACCGTTGTGAAATGTTCATTTTTATGAGTACCATAACCACATTTAATTAATTCGCTTTGGGTGTTAACTTTGAATATCTTCATCAAAGTTCTACCTAATCTGCTCTGCGGAGCCCCCTGAAGTAGCGTTGGTGATAGCCCATGCTGCTTCTTTCCTTGTACGGAACTCTGCTACTTGCAGGATAGAGATGAGAGGAGGCAGCAGACCTGCATCGATCACCATCTGTGAACAGGAGAGAAAAAAACAAATCAAACACTTGGTAAATGACAAGAACTCAAACAACTTGTTTCTCATGAACAACATACGCAGCCAGGCGTGCAAATGCACCTGAATTTGTGCTCGATTCCCTGCGGTGATGTTTGAGATTGTCCAACAGGCCTCCTTCTTGATGGACTCCTTGGGGCTGCTCAGAAGGTGAAGGAGTGACTGCAGTGCTGAACAGTTCAGAATCACCTTGAACGACATAAAAAACGCAAAAATTCAGAAAGTCCTCATTCATTCAGCAGACGCATCAGACATAAGTCCGTTTGTGAGTTTCACCTGTGTTTGCCGATCATCTCCAGTGACTATGTTTCCAACGGCCCGCAGGGCAGGAGATACAACCTTATAATCAGAATGCCTGCAAGAAAGAATTATAGCCTGTGATCACTACAGCAAACCCATATCTTCACAGTCACAAAATTGTGCAGATGAACGGTGCACAACTCCTCCAGCATGTCTATTTACTGCCATTAAAGTTACACGTTTCTGTAGAAACGTGTAACTTTATTGGTAGGAAATAATCTCTGAATATTATAAGGGAAAGGTTGAGGTCTCACATCAGTAATTCGACCAGTCTGCGACAGACTCCTGAGTCAATAACAGCCTGGATTTTGTCATTAGGGCCATCGGACAGGTAGGAGAGCGCCCAGCACGCATCAGCTAAAATGTCTGTGTCATTCACAAACAGCAGCCAAGACAACACGCTGAGACACGGGGACACCTAGAAGATGCAACGAGACAAGAAGAAAGGACACGGTTCTGAGTTCAGTGAGAACAAGTGTTCAGATTCAGCACAGGTTTACCTAGCTGCTAAGACTGTGACCTTGCAATGAGAGATATGCGCTACATCAGCAGTGTAAGATGTGTGCTGTTGCCATAGTGATTTCGTTTATGTGGCAAATTACCTTTGAGAAGTCTGGAGGTGGGTTCTTTCCTCTGCACAGGTTTGAGAGCGCCCACACAGCGTTCCTCATCATGGTTAGACGATTCTGTTTAGCCAATAACCTGAAGGAGGAATGTCACAAAGTTAAACTATAAAATTACTCCATAATTCTGAGTACAATAACACCATGTTGACCATTTTCCTTTAGAAAGCTTATTGTCAGATTGATAACTGTAACATTGTGTGTACATTGTAAGTTGCTTTGGATAAAAGCGTCCGCTAAATGCATAAACAAAAACAAACAAGATGGGAATATTACACAGAGTGGCTACTTACTGCACTAGGGAAGGCAAAATGTTGCAGTCAATGACAAAGTCTCGGCATTCTGTGCTATCACCTGCTATGTTTCCCAAGGCCCACACTGCCTGCAGGGTAAATGAGTCACCAGATGTGTTGATATTTAATATAGAGAAGAAGCTGGAAAAAATATATCTCGCTGTGATAGTTAGGAAATCTTTACCTGCTCCTGTACATCTTCAAAATCTGAGCAAAGCATCTCTATGAATATGGGCACAGCTCCTGCCTGAATTACAACCCGTGTCTGGTTGGATGTGCCTGAGGCAATGTTGGTCAACACCCAAGCAGCTTCAAACTGAAAAATATGATAAAATGCATTTAAAGAAAAAAAAGTCGTTGTACCATGAATAAAATGTGCAACAATTTAAAAGATTTTAAAAAAGCAAAGACAAAAAGACAAAAGACAAAGCACATCATCTAAAGAGAGAGAAGATGACAATGTTTCCATGCTTTCTGCTTCTAAAACTATTAGCAACAAGGCGTACCTGCAATGTGCAGTTTTCTCTCCTCTTTAGGAACTCAACAAAATGTTCCACAACTCCTGGGGTGGCAATGACTTCATCAATGGGTGGGTTGGGCTCTGTTTGGGACAGATAAATTCAATTAATTTGGATTCTTACCAGATGCGCGCCTGTGTGCTGCTCAGGCGATGACGAGTAACAGCTGCATATTTTGAACATCTTGAGACTTATGGTATTGCTTATGTTGAAGGAATTCAGCAGTCATTCAAAACTTAAAATTATATTCTCTGAAGAATAAAGCTGTCGTGATTAGTAAAAACAGACTTATACCTTTAGAAAGTAGTTTCCTGAAGCGCTGAGTGCCTATTAGCTGCTGCTCAGGAGAACTGGAGAAGATCATTTGGATCATGTCTTCAGAAATCACCCCACCCTGTGTGGCATGGAGACGAGAAATGCTTTCACAAATAATCTGATAAATCTAAGGAATGACAGCATTATGTTTATAAGGAAAACAGCAGTCTTAATTTAATGCAATCTCACCATAAGTGGGTCCATGTTGTTAGCCTGGGATTCCAGGTAGCCACTATCTGCCATTCCATCGTCTTCCAGGGTGCCATCTTCCCCAACGGTGGCAACATTTCTCCTTTTGAAAAGCTTCAACAAAAGAGCTTTTAAGTAAACTGTTTTGTGTGCGTGTATGTTTTTTTTTGTTACGATTAAATCAGTATGAAAGGCAAAATTTCAGGATTCATATCTTGTTGATTCCCTTTCCCATTCCAGACTCTACTTACTTGTTCATCCTTCTTCTGTTTGCGAAGCTGCAGACCTTCCTCTTCCCTCCTTCTTCTCATCTCATCTGGGTTGAGAGATTTGTTCTTGTAGCTCTTGAGTCGTGCATTGTCCTTACCTTGACTCATTGTGCAGCCTGGGAAGATAAACAAGTAAGTTATTGTTGGAGACTTGAATATAGTTTCGATAAGGACTTATCTCAAATACAGTGTAATACTTAATTTCGATCCAATTGTAAAACATGTAAAAATAACAATCACGATCACTTTGACAATCATCCACAAGAGTGAGGAAGCTTATAGTAAAACACCTGCTGACATTTAGAACGCTAACTCGCTTGAAGAAAGATTGCTTAACAACTGGGAGCATTTAAGGACACTTAGCTAGCATTCACGTTAGCATTATGTGGCTTTAAATAGTATCATTACAAAAAACATAGACATTATCATCAAATAATTTGGAGGGAAGTCTCTAAGTATCAAACTTCGATTTTTTTAAATGGCAAAATAGGACATATAAAGCGCTTGTCCACGTTCGGTCAGCTTGCTAATGTCACAGTCGTTGTTAGCCTCTGCTACTGAAAGCTAGCTGCCAAACATGGCTAACCGAGCGTTAGCTTAGCTCGAGACCCTGCGTAAACGAAAGCTAACGCGACAGCCCCACATTTTCCAAAAGCTTGAGACTTTCCTAATTGAATTAATCATGTCACCAAGAAGAGTTGGCAACCATAAATAGCTCAAACTTAAAGAATATTAGTCATTTGACCTGTCAGATTGGGCTCCGTAATCCCCTTATTCGCTAGGCCACTGTTTCTTACAGCCGTCGCCGGTAAGACTCTGCGCATGTGTAGTACAAAACGCACCCTAGGGCTCCCAGCACGCTCCGTAAACCCCACCCACCATACGCTTATCCTTTGTAAATAAGAAAATCGACCTCTCCGGTTACAAAAAAAAGGGGGGGAAAGAAAAAAGAAAGAGGAACAGACAGTGTCCTTAAACGCCGCTTTATATAAATGCTCATTTCAGGGCAAGGTCGAGATATGCATTGGGCCTTTGCAGTGTTTAAAAGAATACTTTTAACTTCAAGGATGAATACCTCCGCCTTATGGCTTTATGAACTTCTTGTCTGACAGTGCAGGTGTGAGTGTAAACTTGACACTATTTCTAAGTGGATCATAGACATTCTGGCGCCTCTGGTCATCAGATGGCCAGCAATGCGCCTAATAATAGCTTCACACACAGAGATACACATGCACAGACATAATCACTATCACAATTTTCTTTAACACATCCAGCAACAATATCAGGCAAGTATAAAAGACATACATTACTTGTGCTCGTTATAAAAGACATTGTGCATTTGAATAATCGTTACCATTAAAACAAGCAGGCAAACAAAACAAAAGAGTCGCCTAACAACAAATTAATGTACTTCTTATGAATAAGTTAAAAAAAACGCAGTTCAGCAAATCAGATGACTTACGCAGATGAGTTACATAGCTTAATCAGCATTATGTAGAAGAATAATGCTGATCAAGGTATTCTCATTTCATACTCAGATACTTAACACTAAAAGTTACACAGGGAGCACTTCTGAATAGGCCACATCTGTATTTTTGGGAGTTAAATGCCCAAGTAGCATTCAGCTGCCACGCGTAAAACGACGTGCGCCCAACATTAAAGGTAACCATTCAGACTGGGACCAAACACCTGCGATCGATCGACAGCACGCGAACGCAGTTACAATGTACAGCAAATCGCGGCCGTCCATAAATATGACAGGCTCCGAAACAGAGTCAGTGTGTGTATTCTTTGGACAATTCCTACGATGCAGGGAGTCAACGGCCAACGCCCGCTCCTCCGCAAGGAGCAGACCTTCGACATGTGGCACGACTACATGAACCTGGGCCGGCTGATGCAGAGGCTGTGCGACCGGCGGGACGCGCACGGCCAGGAGCCAAACGATCAGAGGAAGGAGCCGGCGTGGAGCTTCATCCAGATCCCCTCCCAGAGGAGGATCGGCAAAACCTCCTCCGACAGCGGCTCGGCCAGCAGCCTGTCGGACAGCAGCAGCAGCAGCAGCTGCGGCCCCGCGGGGAGCCACTGTCGCTTCTGCAGGCAGAACGGGGAGTCCGCGCGCGTCTACCGCTCGCACGCGCTCAGATCGAACGACGGCAAGGTGTCCTGCCCCATCCTCCGGAGCTACACCTGCCCCATCTGCGACGCCACCGGGGACGACGCGCACACGCGGAGGTACTGCCCGCAGGCGCAGCGGCCGGAGGCTGCGAGGATGCCGCGCAAGTTCTGGTAAAAAACCGCGAGGATGGACTCCAGTGGCACCGGACACGCCGTGTACATAATTACTGAAGACTGTTCAAGAATTCCGTTCAGTCAATCCTATAGGAAAAACGGACATCTGGAGAAGACTGAGTGTAAATGTTTTGGTTGTGCAAAGTGTGTTCACACAGTCTGTTTCCGTTCAGGAACTGGTTCGTGTTTGACATGTGAATTGAGATGAAGCTGCAAACAACCCTGTCCCAGCCTCCACAGGTGTGACGGGGACCTCTTACCAAACTGCTTTGCGAGTCAACAATGAACACGTGAAGTTTAACCTGTATTTTTCTAATGCTGTCTGTGTCTGTAGAGAGTTTACCTACAGCAACAGAGAATGTTATTTTTAGACTCCAAAAACGATAATAAACATTTTTGAAAGTGTAATTTCTATATGAACTTTTTCCGTATCCTCAACATCTAACACACAATTTGGATTTGGGTCTCCTGTAATTTGGATTTCTTATGATAACATTATATTAAGGATTTATCATAATTTTTTCCAGTCAGTTTTATAAGAGATCGAATTAATAATGCTCTGTATATGGAACTAAAAGACTAAATGGAGACAAACAAACAGTGTTCTAACCAAGGAGTTTGAGTTTAGTAAAATTCTATCATCTGTAGATGAAATGAGAATGACATGGAAAGGGTTTCTCCTTTCAGGCTGTTGCATTTGCTATCAAAGCACTCTTAAGCATAGCCTGAGAGTTTGAAACTAAATTAGTTTTAAAAAACAGAAATGAAAAACTTTGCAAAACAGCCATTAATTTAGTCACTATAAAGGTGACAAAAACGTAAATGATTCCACTGGAACTTTGCTTTGTGTTATCTGATGCTTTTCTTTTATGTAACATTTGTTACTTTATTGTTCATTAGTACTTTTCTCTTGTCAACATAATATCAGGAACCAAGAGTTGCCAAAAACATTGAATGTTTTACTATAAGGATGTGTGAAATAGAGTACAACTGAACATGTCAGTGATGTAGACCACAAGCAAGCACAAGAGAAACGGGGGAAAAAATGAAAAACGTCCAAAAATACATTCAGTGACATAAAAAATTAACTGAGTAAAACTTTGCGCCTCTCTTTGATTCAGGAAGGGAGTGGACCTTCCTGCGTGACTGGACAGGGATGGTTTGCCTTATATCATAATCTTAATGCTACTATATTCTAACTGCTTGTGTAACAAAAGTCCAACCTTTCACTCAGTAACAGGCAAACAATCGGCCCTTTTAATTCATCATTTATAGGACAATGATACATGCGGCCCTGCTGGCAGCAACTCAACCTTTCACAACTGCAGACGAGGTAAAAAGTGAAGGCATTCAACGGCCAATCCCGTCAGAGCACATGCAGGGCTCACCTGTGTGGGCGGGGCCAACAGGCTATCAAGACTGGGTTATAAAAATCGTGTTACCAAACAGCATATTGGGACAAAGTCTCCCTTTTCTATATGTTTGTATAATTAGTAAATTGTACTTTACAGCAGTCAACTAAGGTTACTGTTTTTTTCTCCTCTCGTTTCACCCTCACGCCTGAAATCGTTTGTAGGGAGTGTCCTATCTGCAGTGATGTAAGTTTCAAACACGTACACGTGCTTGTGAGCCATAAAGTGCGTTTCACAACGAGTCCCTACAAATATGTAACACCCTTCCTCGACAGTAGTCATTGAGGTATTGGCTTTTCTTTCCAAGTAGAAGTATCAGGAGGTTAGCAGCTTTTTTTGTTAACTCGACTTTTGCTTCATGTGGGTTGAGACTTTGTCATTTAAATGATATTTACGTTTTATTTCCAACATTAATCCTTTAGTCTTTTTTCCCCTTTTTTCTTTATTTTCTTTAGATTTATCGAGGATGGCGGGACACAACATTGGTCTTCTGATTGCCATGGGGCTCTCCCTGTCTGTGTTCGTCATCACGATGGTGTTCTCTGCCTTGGCGGCAGCAGGAGGATGTAAGTCTGTTTGTACAAAACAGTTCTGTGTCAGGGTTTTATTTAATGTAGAAATAGTGGAAATGATGTTATATCCTTTGACCTTTTACAGGAGCTTCATTTTGACTCTGATGTGCTCTCGTTTCTGAATTTGTGCCCCTCAGCTCCATTTTTGTACAGCACTGGCAATGTTTCGGATGATCTTGTGACCCAGATCACACCATCCGGATGGACCTTCTCCATCTGGTCCATCATCTACATCTTCCTGGCATTAATTTTGGTGTACATTTTCTCTGGCATCTGTAGGAGGTAAGAAGCAGTCTGAATAAAAAGAAAACTCAAACATAATGGAGACTTACAGTCTACAGGTGTTTGGTTTGTTGAGTTGATTTGTGATTTGTCCACAGAAATGCCTACGGTTATGTCTACTGCCGCCCTGCTGTTGTGCCATTTGGATTTTTTGGCTCTTGGTGCTTGAATCTGTCCCTCAATGTTGGATGGTTGTTCCTGTGGGACAGAAGGTGAGAAGATAATATTTCTTTTTTACATATATTCTGCCAATTTCAATAATAGTCAGTCTACTTTTCGCTTTTTGATAATTTGAGTTCATTTCTCTGTTCACACGTGCATTCAAACCAATTTTATACAAATAAATTTGATTTCATGTAGCTTGGCTCCAATAAAATTGGCCATAGAAAAGTAGTGCTAAAAGTATGTGTATCATGTATTTTCTGAAGTTGGGTGTCTGTACTTCTTGGAAACCTGATTCATATGACGGATATGAATAATTGGTCACATCTGCGTTATGATAACGCAATTCTGATTCCATGTAATTCTCCATTTCTGAACCGCACTTCCCAGATGGGGTGATTCCATATAATTGTTACAACATATTTACTTAAATATAGATGTTATTTTTGTTTGTTCAGCTCAGTATTACTAAAGATTTATTTATTTTTGTTTAAATTTCTTTAACAAAAATCCTTTTTTAAGCATTTTTTTCCCATTAGAATAATGGGTTTCAGTAGTGGTGCATACCACATGGACTTCTGTTGTGTAGTTTGGCTGTTAACTAATGCTGTTTGCTCTGTTTATCTTTCCCACCAAAGGTCCATGATCGCAGCATTGATTTTCCTCATCCTCATTGCTTTGACCAACTACTCAATGATATTCTTCTCCTGCTATGGCCTAAAGAACTACGGGGCCTGGCTAAACAAATACCACAAGGTAGACCTGTGGCTCCATCGTGTGTTGGTAAGCTTCTCCTCAGAAACGGTTTTGTGCCCCATTTGTTCCGCCGCTGAAGATACTTCCTCTGCAACCAACTCTTGTCTCGGTATCTGCATCACAGATTCAGAATGGAATAGCCATTTATGCAACGTGGACAACAATCGCCACCCTTGTTAATCTGGCCATTGTGCTCGATTATGATGCCAATGTGTCCAGCGACGATGCCGCCACCGCCTGTCTCTCTCTGCTGACTATAGTTCTGCTCGTTTGGTAAGTGAAACGAAGGACAGCATATCGAGTAAAACTCTCACAGTTGGGAACCGTGTGAAAACACCTGCTGTCTCTTTCCCAGGTTCGTGCTGGAAAACTCCGTCCTTGAGCGACACGTGAGGTTCATCCTCATCATCTACCCTGCAGTGATCTGGGCCTTGACGGGCGTGTACACCAAAAACTACAACACCGCGGCGCCCACTCGCAATAACGTCTTCGTCGGTGAGAAAAAGCCCCTTCATTAGTCTTAGCTGGCCCGTCTTAACGCAGGCTGCACACTAACGTCCTTCTTCTCCTCACTCCAGCTGTGCTGTTGGCAATGGCCTGCGTTATGTTTGTCCTACGAGTACTTCTGGTCACCTGGAGGCAGATCAAGAAGCCCCTTTACAGAGATGTAGACCTTGATGCCTTGTCACCGCTGGAAATTGCAAAAAAGCAGAAAATGATTTTTAAGTGAAATGGTTTATTTGAATTTTCTATTTTTTTAAAGCTTGTCAGGGTCTTAACTGTAAATCAAAACGACATGACCCGATATAATCATGCAATCAATACTCATCACGCACTTGCCTTCAAAACTTTGAATATTTATGATCAGATCCTTCTTCAGGTCTATTTAAAAAAAAATGTAAATAGGAGATTGGGTGTTATTTTGTTGCCAAAGATATATGACTTCTGTTGTCTTTCCTTTTTTAATAAAATTTTTTGTTTCTTAAGATGAATGATTTGTGTAATTATTTTAAAGAACAATGAAAAAACACAGAAGCACAAATAACGTCTTGTCCATGAGCAGATATTACAGCTGTTATGATTTAAAGAGATCTATAAAACTATAACCAATACATATCAAAGGGAATTGGGCTGATAAGGAATGTCTGATGTAGGAATGTGACCTCCTCAGTACTCTGGAGTGCAGGATTGTTGAAACAAACAGCATAATAATACAGAACACATGTTTTTTGAATGGATGGAATATTGCTTGATTCCCCTACAACATCAAGGTTGCGATAAAAGCTACACTGTATTGTGGTGTCATTCTGCATGTTTATTTAGCATATTTTTTTTACATACAGATATACAGAGCCGTTTCTTTTAAACAATATTTTCATATTTTGCCCAATTTACATGGTAAACTACCTATCAGGATTTAAATATAGAAGTCTGTGGCATCACACCTTCCTTGTACTATCACACACCTCTGTCCCTCTCTCAAAGACAGTCTAGAATCAATCTCTCTCTGCTACCTGTTTCCATCTCTACTCTGCGTAATTCGAGGTGTGCCACAGCCAGGTCGCACCTGCTTGTCAAAGTCAATTATAGGCAGCTATTAAAAAAAAGGCCCAGGCTCCTAGACTGAGATTGCCAAGAATGTGATCAGGTACAACTGCATTCTAATGAGGTCCAACATAGATCAAACCGAAGTTAAAGTCATATAAGAAAGCAAGGAAATAGAAGACCTCCAAATTAGAATTGTATGTGTATGCAATGTTATGTTCTAAAATCATAAACAACCCAGTTTTGAACACATGGGATTAACAAATTATTCGTTATCATACAGAAACACTGTGGGCAGTAATGAGGACAAAACTTGTTCTCAGACACTACAGAGAAAAGAGAAAAATGCAAAAAAAATTGAAAAAGTATTTAATCTGTGATGTAAGGACAAACTAGAAAAAGATAAAATAGCTTTGATTTGAATCGCAGTGATTCTTCTTCGTGAGTCGAAAAGAAACAAACAAAAACTAAATCATGCTAGCAAAAGCCCAACCACAAAATTCAATAAAGCTATGTTCCCCTAATGCAGTAAAGAGAGTTTTTTTTTACTTTTGGTCCCCCAGGTTTGACTACATAATTGTGTGAAACAGACATCCTCCTAATGAAATGTACTTTCTTCTGTTTGGAGCCAGCAGATCTAATATTCCAGGTGATTCATGGAAAAATCAAAGCAGCTAAATGGTGGGAAATTCATGTCCGTGAATTAGTGTTGCGGCATTGCCAAACCTGTAATGTGTATTGTAAGGCGTTAAATACGTAACACGATGTGCAATGTCCCTCCCATCAGACGTCGGTAAACTGTGTAATTATTCAAAACTTGTTACAGATATGGCAAACGTCTTCAAAACAAGTAAAAAAGTGTACATGTAAATAATTTTTGTCAAAACCACTGAGTTATAAACATTATAGTTATTACTAATTGCAGCATAAGAAACAGACATTTTCATAGAAATTACATTTTTTAACATTAATGAAAATGTTCAGAGAGAAGTGTCAGTGTTTTATGATTTGCTGGGCTTTGGCAGAAATGTATATGAGAGATAAGGGAGGCACGTGGCGCTTGGAAGGCTCATAAAGGTCCCTCTTACCTAATGGCTACTCTATAAAGCAGATGGTCCCCTGTCTTGTGGACAGTAACTCTTCTTCATCGGATTGCTCCCTCGACCTGCAAAAGAAGAATAAAGAAGAGGTATGTTGAACTCTATGTTTGGTATTTTGCCAGTTTTTTTATTGACCTGGATAAAATGAAGGGGAGGTGGGAGGGGTGAGTAGTAAAACACGTGAGAGCAATGTTACACAAGTGGCTTTTTAAAAAAGATAAGATATAACACTCTTTCCTTGAAATGCTTTTTTTCTCCTTAACCTCCTGAGACCATACGTCCTCATATAAGGACATTGCATTTTTGCCTCTCTTTACCATAATACTTCTTTTTTCTTTTGACTTTGACTTCTTAGCAGACACCATCAGACACTAATGTTTGACATCTAAAGTAAAATGGTTTTATACAATTTCAACCAATCATGTTCTTATTGAGAGATTAAGATTTAGTAAATAAGTCATTTGGATCATCAGAACCAAATTGCAAAAGCATTTATCAAATATGTAAACAAACATTTTAAATATAAAGATTAAACCCACTGAACCTTTACGAAGATGCCTAAAGTCTAGTTATTAAACTTATTAGGTCCTAATAATCCCATATATCTTGAAAGAAGCAAAAATCCACACCAAATAAAAGCTCGGGTCAAAGGAGGTAAAGGATGAAGAGTTTATCTTTGTCTAGTTAGATATTAAATGCCTTTTTGAAAAAGAAACCCAGCATAATTTTAGAGGTATTTATAAATGTACCAAAGATTAAATCAGTAAATCATATCATCAATCATATAATCATATATTTTCTCTCTGTAGTTTAAGTTTGTGTGCAGCTTCTAAACTTTTTTCTCCTGTTTTTGTCATATTGTTTGTGATATAAGGGGACCACAATGGCAAAACACAGCTATGGACGTCTTGCTACCATCATCGTGTCTGTTATTGGCTTTGGAATCAGTTTGGTGTTCAACGGACTTTCTGTTGTTGGAATTGGTAAATTGAAGCATGTTCTTTTTTTAGATGAATGAACAGAATGTAAATGTGCACCTCAGGAAATTGTACACATAACAAATATTAGTCTAACAGTCTCACTCAATATTTCCACTCTTCACTCGGAAGGTCCCTATCAAACAACCACCGCCAACGTGTCTGCTGTGTTTGACACGGAGCTCACGCCATCCGGCTGGACCTTTAACATCTGGAGCGTCATTTACATCTGGCTGACGTCGATGATTATCTATATTGTGTCGGGCCTTTTCAGAAAGTTAGGGTCACCTTTTTCTACTGTTTTTGTCATCACTGAAAACAAATGTTCAACATGTAGTTTTTAAACAGTTTAGGGCTAGAAGCTATGCATTTCACTACAACTTTTTGCTTAGTCTTTATAACGGCATCATCCACAAGTTTTAAGCTGGTTTTAACCACATACTCACATATCCACTGTATTTCCTTTTTTAGGAATGGATATGGATATTTGTACTGCAGCCCGGCAGTTCTGCCTTATGGATTCTTCATTAGCTGGTGTCTAAATCTGTGTTTCAATATTGGTTGGCTTCTTGTTTGGGACAGAGGGTGAGACTTTCAAGTACTTATACTTTGTTTTATGCAGTTAGTAATTATCTAAATTAAGAATGCAGTGCCATGAATGATAGTGTTCAACAGCATATTTGTATAAAAAGACACAAAACAAAAAATATGTATTTGTATTGTCGACTGTTTCTTCTTACTTTTAGAATGATGATCCCTGCACTGGTTTTTCTCATCCTGGTGATTTGCACAAACTATTCCATGATATTTTTCACCTGCCATGGACTTCACGTTTATGGAGCGTGGCTCAAGAAATATCACAAAGTAGACTTGTGGCTTCTTCGTGTGCTGGTCAGTGTTGTAATTTAATCAGATAAGCTATGCATGAATCTCCTTTAAACAACGCCTCTAAGAAATAGGATCTACATATGCAGGTTCAGAATGGTGTGATGATCTATACAACATGGACAACCCTGGCAACGCTCATAAACCTGACCATTGTGCTGACTTATGATGCCAACATGTCGCCGGCAGATGCGGCCACCCTCTCATACTCTCTGTTGACAGTCCTGCTGCTTGTGTGGTGAGTGCTATTAATATTGAAACTACCCGTTTTGAAACACTGGAGAGTTGTCACATAGATTGTCTGATGATATGCTCGCAGGTTTGTGTTGGAAAACACCATCCTTGACAAGCACATGCGGTACATCTGCATCACCTATCTGGTCGTAATCTGGGCATTGTCTGGAAACTTAGACAAAAATTACAACGCCAGCTCACCCAGTCGCAATGGCATCTTCATTGGTGAGACATAGAGTTTTGTGCTATTTCTACAAACGGATAGAATTAGATTTCCATGACCTAACCTAAAATAATGCTCGCATTTAATAACCACCTCAGTATAATGTATTCATGGGTCCAAAATGGGACCGTAAAATCTGTGTAAACATTGTAACTAATAGATTTTCTCTCACAGCTGTGCTGCTGGCTGTGGCCTGTGTATTGTTTGCCGTCCGGATGATCTTGGTGATTTGGAGGCATTTTAAACAGCCTCTGTATGAAGACGTCGATCCTGAAGCAATGGAGGTGATGAGCATTGCTAAGAAGCAAAAAAAGATATTTTGCTAAGCTTTTGAATTGTAAAACATGTTTGCAGTTCTGACATAGAAAAGAAAATCAAAGATCACAAATCAGGAATTCAGTTGTCTGTACTCATGAAATGTTTTTTCTAAGTTGTGGCACATAACAATCGGTACTGCAGCTTATTTCAATGATGGTATTTTTCAGTTATCATTACTACTTTATCAGTCTTTTATGGCTGTTTTCTAACTTCCTGACTGGCCTCTTATGTGAAACATCATAAAGAGAGAGAGAACGACAACCAACCTCTTTATGACATCGTGAGACAAGTCTTTTGGTTATGTATTGAATGTCACCTTTACATACAAATCCAGTCCAATCCGTTGGTATTCAACCTTACGTGTGTAAAAACAAGTACAGATTGATCAGCATACGTTTTTGCAATTTAGTTTTTTTTTAAATCTTAACTTATATAAACTGTTTTTTGTATAATTTGCCTGTAGGAAATATGTATCTACATTTTCCAGGCATAATATTTTCTCTATTTTAAATTATTTGCCAATAATTAAAGAATACGTTGTCCTGTCACATTCTTTCTATTTATTGGTGGGTATCTACTACGGAATACAGTCTTTGCTTTTTCAAAGCATAATCTAAAGCATACATTCCATGACAGAAATAAGAAAATATGATGACATCTACCGCACACAACTTGTTTAATTTTGTTCTAACATTATAGTATGTTACCCCAACAAAATGTCTGAATATCTGTTTTTAAACAAAAAGCAGAAGAAACTGTCAGAAGCTCAAAATAAAAGATCACTTTTCGTTATGTTCAGACTGATAAAATATCATGTAAATACAACTTTGAAGAATATGGGGGATAAAACTACTTGACAAAATACCTATAATGTAAAATCAAAAAGTTCAATGGTCATGACAATATTAGATACTACGTACTTGAATGTATGGGTTTATACACACAATCACAGACAAATGCACAGGGGAATTTGACCCCTGCATTTAATCCACAGGTGGGTTGTAAACATACCATAGAAACTCAAATACTTGGCCATGTGAATTGCAAACCCAAACGTGCAGGTTCAGTGTCCAGGGTGCAATTATGTTGTTATTGTTTCCTGCCTTTGGACAGAACTATTGACAATTGACTTTCAAAGTAATTTTATTTTAAAGATACTTGTCAGTTTTACTGGACAGTTTTGAAGTTTCTGTACCTCAAAAGTAAAGAAAAAATAGCTTTATCTAAAAAGAAATATTTCCGCGAGGAACAATATCTATGAGAATACAAAAACCCTTCCATTAAATTTAACTTTTAATCATTCCATCTGAAGCTGTAGATGGCAGCAAGTCAAGCCTTATGTCCGGGAGTCAAACGTAGAAGAAGAAAACTGGGCTCCGGTGTTTATATCCCAATATATTATCTTCCAGGCAAAAAAACTTAAGAATGGAAGATTTAATCTTAATTCAACTAACATTATCAGATGGAATACAACTATTGTTCTCTTGAAATGTCAAATGAAATAACAAAAAAGCTAGATCTAGGTGTGCGTTTGTAAGATTGTAAACGTTTCTGCCTGTAAGACCATACGCGGGGAACCACTTCCTTAATATTATGCGTGCGCGGGTTATTTACAAATTGTTAGCCGCGCCATTGTTTTTGCTAAGGCTAACGGTTGCTATATTTGCAATGAAATAGTATTTCTAGCAACTTTCAAATATATTTCCACTTCCTTTGCGCTAATTTGTGACACTACCAGTTAAAAAAATGCATTATGATGGTTGAGCAATTACATCGTTCTCAAAAACGAAATGATAGCTAACGTTAGCGGTTAACTGTTTATTTCAGTGTTGCATTTGGAAACGGTCGAGGGACATACCGTTTAAAACAAACAACGGATAAACACAAATGGAGAAAAAATACCCTTCTTTGGTAAGTTATAGTCCTCCGTATGGTATTGTTTCGGTTCTTGTCTAAAGAATAAAAAGCTAAGCTAACATAAACACAACCCGTTTTCTAATATGAATCTAACTGTTAAGATTTTAGGTAATTTTAATGATAATTTAATTTCATTGTTCTTTTCTTCAGTCCTGCAGAAATTTAATGTAGAGAAATGGTTGCATGCATTTTAAGATAATCAGTTAAGTTAATTAGATTTCCTAGTATGTACTGTAGTTCTTAATGTATCCATAACTACATAAATATAATTAGAACTTCTGTTTCCACAGAAAAGACCCAAAAGGAAACTCTGCTATATAACAGACAAAGAAAGGTATGCTGTTTTTTTCTAAATGTAAAAAGTTGTATCTGTCTCCAGTATTTCACTTTAGGTAATTAAAAAAAAACGTATATTGTAGAGTTGTTATTAAAGTCTATGATGTGATTTTTTAGAATTACAGAAATATCTTTAGTCTGACCTTAAATTTTTTCAGCCCATCTAAGCAGTGGACAGGAGCGTTATCCCTGGAAGATGTAGACAAGATGTTTGATGACATCGGTGAGTGAGATTCAACTGTCAATAACTTGTGAAGTTATTTTGGAACTTCCATTACATTAATGAGAGATGAACCCTTCTTCTTTCATGTTTTTTAGATTCATGCACACCTCTACATCCACCGTCTCCCCTGCTCCAGAGCTCTGATACTGAGACGAACCCCAGTGAGACCCAACTCTCTGTTAGCCCACAGCAGAAACATCCAACAGAAAAACCTCAAGAACATCAAACGGCATTACCCAATCAAGCCAGTCCTGTGACTTTGGCTGATAACAAAACACAGGTACTCTTTTTAATAATCTTGTTTAAATTTTGAGAACCTACTCTACCTCTTTTTGTGAGTTTCTTAAGTTAGATTACAATTTGTGCAGTCTGATGAGTGTAATCATTGAATACATGTTTTGCAATTCTTCAGGGTCCTGATGGAGATTCCGTAGATCATTCCTTGGGATCTTTAAGTCCTAAACTGGACATAAGTATGACGTTCAAATTTTCATTTTCCTGAAAAGTATTTTTTCTTCCCTTTCTAAAGAGTATTTATTTGCTCTTTTCCAGATTTTGACATCCCATTCAAAGCAAATGGACATGTAAAGACCTCCAGCCCTATTGAGAAGAACATAGATGTAAAAGAGCAGGACAACAAAAACGACCAAGTTGTATCTCCCATTCTCTTCAACTGTGAAGATGAAGTTGTTGAGGAACTTAACAAAGACTCTCCAGTCAGTCAGAAGCCCCACTGTAATGGACTAAATGCAGAGGAGTAGGAACATTTCCTTGATTTTTAGCCTTGTTGATCAAAGAAATTTATATTTCAAATAAATCCTCTTGTTTTTGTGCCTTTGAATTATTTTTAAGTGTTTAACAATTTTTGTTTATATTCAGGAGTGCTGATTTAGATCTGGAATCCCCCCCAAGCAGAGTCACTCTCACCAAAAAGTCAAGTCATAAAATGAAGGCAAAAGAACCACAGTAAGTTTGTGATTTTTTGTTTGTAGTAGTTAAGTTCTTGGATTTACAAAGCGGAAAATGTCATGCTTTGACCAGACGGAAAATCTGCTGCGCGCAGAATCCCTGTTTTTCTGGTGGTAATGATGCTGGCCACCCATATTACTAACAGCATTTCAATGGAAGAAGTATCGAAAATACCATGGATAATGTTTCCTTCAAATGATTTAGAAACACATCCACACTTTAGTATTATCATATCTGTGACCAAAATTTGTGCTGTATCAATTGTGTAATAAATGTCAATAATAACACAGTAATATGTAGAATGAGTAACGATAAAAATGTCAATTTCAGTTTATTTGTACAAGAGCTTGAACACGTACAGATTTAAGGTTATTTTATAGAAACATTATCAATATATTTTGTTAATCACAGAGATAAAAATGTATATTTCAACTGGAAAACACTTAGAATAAGTAATATTCTCAGCCAGCACATTCGTAACTCATAAATCATAAATCCAGTTAAAACAACAATTGAAATAATTAAAATAACAATTATTGATAGTTATCAAACAAGTATCTTGTTGTCAAGTATTTGTGCTTGTTTTGTGCAGTTCCCCACTTGAAAGGGATAGTCCTCCTTATCCCAACTGGATTTCACTCAGTGAACAGCCATTTCATTGTCTTTCATTATTTTTATTCATTGAAAGTTGGCGGTCGGCAGGTGAAAAACCTAAAAAAAAAAAAAGGTAACACAAAATCAATCATTTCAGATTATCCAAAATCACACATTTAAGCATTTCAGCCCTTTTTAAATAAAATATTTCCCACCATGTTCTAACAAAATATATATTTTTTAAACATCAATTTAAAGTAACTTATTTTTTAGTCAAATTAAGTTGATAGATTTTAGCCAAATAAATTAAATCAATATTTTTTATAGCCAAATTATTTTTACATGTTTTTACACAATGTTTTTAACCAATATTTTTACTTTGTCTTTAACAGTATTTTTTAACCAAAAGATCTTATAATAAAAATTAAATTAATTTTAGTCATACATGTTTTTATCTTAAGATTACACCCAAACAAATCAACTGATATTTTAGACTCATGTATTTATAATTTTTAACCAAGTTAATCTTGTATTTTAGCCAAAATTTGAACAGTTGTTTAGCCAAATAATAGATTAAATATTATGTTTTTAGTTAAATTAAATGTTTTAGCAACTTATAGTTTTTAACTTCTACAGTTTGAAAGCTTTTAAAGTTATCTTATACAAGTTAAGAAAACAAAAATGTGCTTCTACACAAATGCAGCTATTAAACTATCATTTCTTTAAATCAATTTGTCACATACCATCAAAGATTTTTCCCACAAATAACCCACAGCAGTCCAACCACAGTCCATTCTTTATCTTAATAAAGTTGTCTGGTGTTAAAGTCCAGGCAGAGTCAAGGGCATTTAGGCGCTTACCGGTTGTCTTTTAGAGTTTTTGAGTAGAAGGACTTGTTTGCACAATCACACTCTCTGAGCTGAATTTTTGCTGTCTCCACACAGAGCAGTGCTTGGTCTTTTCCTTCAGATTTACCTGGCCCGCCCAAATTGCTGGGAGATTTGTTTCACCTGGTGCCTCCCTGCTGATGGGAAAGGAGGAGGGGCTACCAGGCAGCTTGACAGAACACTTGTTGTGTTTCTCCTTTAGGGCTCATAACGGACAAAATGATACAGACCTGCCTGCTTCAACAGTGAGACAGGATCCTGAATTCACAGCACCTGAGGATAACGCCAAAAATGTTTCCTCCCAGCCATCTGAAGAGATGTCCTCACGTGTGGGAAAACATATGATGTCTTTTCTAGAGAAACTCAAACTGGTTGGAAAGCCAGGCTTAACATGGTGAGTTAAGACAAATATACCTATAGATTATTTCCTTTGGTGGGACGGTTACAATGTCACCACAACATGAAACATCTTTTGAATATTTACATCACTATTAACTATATTTTTTTTAAAGATAAATAAAGTGTCATTCTTTTTTTTTTCTTTTTAAAAGTAGTAAGAAGTCACCAGTTAAAGCACCACCTCCCGCTGCCCCTCCTGAGCCAGAAGACAATTTCCTGATTCTGGAAGATGATGCACCTCTTTGGTTTTCCATCCCAAGCAAAAGTACCACGAATAAAAGACCACAACTGAGCAAGACTTCCAGCAATGACAAAGAGCACCTTACCGATAACAGAAGCCCTGATAGTCTATTAGAAAATCAACAAGAACAGCACAGACTGGAAACGCCAAGCAGCAAAGATGAAGATCAGTCTGTTACTAAAAAAAAGAAGAAGAATTCTGAGGTGACTGGGCCTAAAAATGATGGAGAGGCTGACTTACAGGATCTGCCTACAGGTGACATGGTGGAACAGCCGAAAGCGAAAAAAAAGAAACAGCAACTGAGGAAATCTTCATCCAAATTGAGTGACAAAAAAGAAGATCAACCAAAAAACACACCCAAAGAAAACACATCCCTGGAAACAAAAACAAAAGCACACAAGCTCTCCGAAAAGAAAATGTTAAAAGTTTGTAAAGAAAATACCAGGACGGGCAAGGCCAGCGCATTAAAAGAGGCCAGAGAACGTTCAACCCGATTGGGTGCTGTGAAGGAGATGGAGCAGGTGGATTTAATCAAGGAGCAAAGTCAGGAGCAGCGCAGTACAGAACCTTCAGATTCTGAGGCCCAGGGCTATTTGTCAGGTAAGATCCTGTTGCTGCTAACCCCTTCAAAACACTGCTCAGTATCGTTTTTTTAACCGTACCTAGTATTACCTAGTTTTGACTGTTTGACTTCATTTAAATGGACCTACATTTTGTGGGCTGTAACAGTGATTATTTATATTTGGTTCAAAACCAGATTACAATACAGATTTGAAACGATGTATTGCCATTGGGTTCCGAAGAAATGTATTAACAGGAATTAAAGTCTTAAATAGCGCTGGATGCAGATGGCAGAACAGAATCCTTTATTTACACCAGCTGTTGGTTGGTTGGAGTGTTTGGTAAACAAATATTTGCAAATGATTTTGTGCAGGTTGTACTGCACCTCGCACCACATGTCAGTTGGTGATATTTTAGCAGGTTGAGATTAGTACCATCTGCTAACAGATGGATTAAACCACAAGAACGATTTAAAGGGTGTTCTGCATTTGTTGGTTAAACTACTTTTTATTTTGGCTAAAGGTAGTTCATCATTGTCTTTTTTTTAATCCACTAATATATTGATCAGAGAGTCGTTGTTGTAGTCCAGGAAAAAAAATAAAATGCTTTTCTGCAGATGAAAGGACTACAGGAAACAAACAGCCAGGAGCCTCCAGTGGAAGTGTGTCTGAAGATGCTGGGCTGCTTGGGAAAAGGAAAAGAAGGAAAACTGGTCAGTGGTGGCTCAACTCCCCTCAGGACACAGAGGAAACAGAGAGCCAGCAGCCTACTATTAAGAGGTCAAAGCAGAAAAATAAAGAGCCCAACCCTGCAGGTCGTTCACCGGCAAAGGCCAGGAATGAAAAAGTTAACAAGAAGATTAGTCAGAAACAGCCCGCAAAAATACCCAGCAAGCATTCTGAGAAATCTAAACAGAAGAAAACCAAGCAGAACAAAAAGAGAAATGGAAAAGGAGATGAGGCAGATAAGATAAAAGCAGCGGGGGAAATATTCAGCGCAGACGAGGCAGAGCCGGAGCAGCAGGACATCTGTAATCAAGACCTGGATCCGCAGCAGTCCATTCCCTTGGTCTTTTCACACAGAGACCACAGTCTCAGCTCTGGTAAGGTCATCTGTGGTGGCACATTCTCAGATCCTCACATCTCATATCCAGATGTCAGTAAGAGCAGCATAATTAAAAAAAAAAAAGTTCAGATTTTGCCCTTTGACTAATGCATTATTATGTTTATACTGTCATATGCTGTTGGATAGTTAAGTTTACTGCTGGGTAGAATATAAGGGGGTATATTTTTTCACATTTATGGATAAAATAAATGTGCTTTTGTTACAGGAGGTCAAATATTTCAAAGAGTCTATCATGGCTCCAGTGACAAAATATCAGCACCTGCCTCTCCCAAACAACCCAGGGAGCAGCTGACAGAGGCAGAGGCCGGAAAGCGGCGGAGGCGGCCACCTGGTACCTGGTGGTCATTAAAGAGCGGGGCTAAAGATTCAGAGAGCGTCGACACGCAGCCTCAGAATCCTACTCCCAAGGGGCCCAAAGGACGACAGAGAAAGAAAAGCCAGCCTAAACAGAGGAAATCTTCTGGTCTCGGTGCGCCACAGAACGGCAACGTGTTAGTCCCAGTGAAACCTGCGGGAGGAGCTCCAGTGCCTCCTCTGTCCGCTCCAAAGACAGTCAAACGCTCTTTGGCAACCTTCAAAAACATTTTCACCTCTGGCATAGAGACTCCCAGTGCGGTCAGTGACAGAGACGCACATCAGAGTAGCAGATGTCACGTCACCCCACACCCTGCAGAGGTGATTTCTGCCACCAGCTTCATAACAGGCAGCCGAGCCGAGGAAGATAAAGCTGACGGGGCCATTGCGGGATGCACAGACCACGACGCCCCACAAGACGGAGAGTGTCAGTCTGAGGACACGTAAGGAGAAGACTTAGTCGTTCTCACTTCTTTGTTTGATCATTTTAAAGTTTGTTCTGACTATGCTTCACTGATTTTGGCAGGTTAAAAGTCCTGAGAAGTGGACCGTCCTCCATGATTGAGCTGGAGCAGTACGAAGAAAATGACGACATAAGTACGTTTTGAAGTCACGCCACGATGTTTCAACTTTGTTTTCTGTCAGCGTGGCTCTTAATACTGAGCCCTGAAAAGTACAGGGTCTTTTCTGAGAAGCAACATCGAATTTCCACAACACAGACATGTGTCCTTAACTTAAAAGCACTAAAGATTAGTCAAAAGTTCTACTGAATTTAGTATTTCTTGGACTTACAAAGAGAAGTAAAATCCATTGAGAGAATATTTTTTACTTTAGATCTGAAATAAATAAAGTAGATGTGATCTAAGTGGAATTACTGGTTGTGCATAGACACAATAACAACATTTCCTTATTTTAGGCTGGCAGTCCCTGCCAGCACTGGCTTACCCTCACAGTCTTATCTTGGTTTCGATCCCCCATAAACACCTTGCAAACTTTCAAAAAGGTTGAATGGGGGTGGCGGCAGATGCAGATAAGTGTGAGCAAGCCTTTGATTCAGATTCACGAAAATGCTGTTGAGTCATGTCTCATGTTGTGACATACCAATCGAAGCAGCAGAGACGGGGAGTCGTTCACTGCCATCAAAGTGAAAGAAGGGCTTGTGAAATTTGAAATTCAGCCTTGAAAACCCCAAATGACTCATGCCACATTTGATGGTTGCTCTGTCAGGCTGGAAATGTGGGCATGCACACTGCAGTAAGAGCGCTAAATCCTTCCTCCTGTAGAAAATGAAAATGCCAAACCTGAAACTTCTGAGTCTCAGGACACTCCAGGTTAAACGGGTGAAACAGCTGAGGGCAGTCAATTTGAATTTGACTTGTAAATGTGAAAATGCGATAAACTATCGGGACATTCTCTGCTGGGCTGCATCGCAATGTTTTTTCTTTTTTTTGTATCTCTTTTCTTCCAGTTTTGCCATCATCGAGAGTCCAAGCTGCGCTGTCTGTTTCAGATCTGTGTGCTCCTCCTCTCAAACCACTGAGTTTACACCCGAATGATAAGGCCAACCTCACCGAGTGGTTCCAGAGTCTGTGGTCCACCTCTGCCGATGGTAAGGGCGTCTTTAACGTCACCCACTAAAGACACGCACTCATTTGATTTATAAGCACAACATGGACTATTGGTTATAAAGGTTGTGTAAATGTAATTGGAATGTTTCAGTAGGCTGTAATTTTAGCTCATGACCTTAACCCTTATATTATGTTAAGGGTCAATTTGACCCGTTTCAGTTTTTGTGTTGGTAAAAGGGCTGGTTGTCCTTTTTTTTTCTTCATGAAATTTGGTGACTTTTCCTCATCTGGGGTCATGAACCTGTGTGTGAAATCTGGTCACTCTGCTGTGTAAGGGGGGGGTCTGTGCAGAGTTTGTATACAAAAATGATGTTGCGGGTCAATTTGACCCGGACACCATTAATGTAGGTAATTAGCTGTTCAGATCCAAAATAAACATGTCTCTTCAGTGTATTTGTATTTTCATTGCCTCTGAGACCCAGTCCCAGGTGTTTGTGAAGGGTTTGGGTCTGAGGGTCTGTGTAAAATACTCAACATCACCACCCCAAAGTCGAGGCAGACTGTCATCATCCAATGTGATCAATATGACTCCCTTCATACAAGATTTGCCGTCACAAGAGTTGATTAGATTCAGTCAGCATTTCAGATCATCATAACCCCACCAATAGAGAGGATGATACTGGATATGACCAACTTAGAGGGGAGATGTGTGTTTCAAGAGAAATGGTAGCCACTGGATCAGACTGACTTGCATGCTTACGTTAGAGTTCTGTTAGTAGCCAGAGTGTACAGGTCAAAGGAAGTAGCAACTGCAAGTTTATGGATTGAAGACAATCCTTGTCCCCATGTTACTGTAGATGACAGTCTGTCCTTTCTGACCGTACACGCCCAACAAGCCTGCCAAGAATGGCACCAAAATATTGGCTGCCTGTGATGCAAAATCCAGCTATGCATGGAATCTGCAAGTATGCACTAGAAAAGCTACCTGGAGGAAAATCTGAGAAGAATCAGGGGATGCATGTGGTGCTGGAGATTAGTGAAGGGTTGCAAAGTCATATCATCACCTGTGACAACCTTTTGTCACTTGTTCCAAAGTAACAAGGAATGCCTTGGAGAAGAACTTCAGAAGAGAAGGCTGACCATGTTGGGATAGTCAGGAAAAATAAGGCAGAACTTCTCAGTGAAATTCAGAAGATGCAGGGCAGAGCTCAGTATTTGCTTTCATTGAGAACGTGACAGTTGTCTCATACCGCCCAAAGATAAACAAAAATGTTCTTGTATTGAGTACAATGGAAGCTGATGCATCTCTGGGCACAAGAGAGGACTTGAAGCCACAAGTGATCCTGGGTTATAAATCCACCAAAGGAGGAGTTGAAAATCTGGACAAAGTCACAGCAACATACAGCTCCAGACTCGAGCCAGGCTAGCTTGACCCACAGTAGCAGCGGCTATCATTGAAAAGCTCAAGCTCAGGTCCCCCAACCAACACCCAGTGGACAGGTGAAAAAGAAAGGGAAAACCAGGATGCCAGGTCTGTCCATCCCCAGAACACAGTAAAATAAGTACCTCTTGTGTGAAATGTAAGAATTACACCCGCAGAAAGTACATATTAAAATTCGAAAATGTGTTAGTGAAGAGGGAAAATCCCCCAAAAATAGTACTTAAAGAAAGTGTTGGAATTAAAAATGGATTGTATGTCACTTTTCTAAAGGTTCATTCAATATTACATCATTTTTTATTTGTTTCACCTGTTTTTTTACTGTTTTGCAGTCATTTACATGGTGCGGGTCAAAATGACCCGCAACATAATCAATGTAATTTTTTTCTAACATAATATGAGGGTTAAAAAAAGTTCACAAAACATCACTGCATAGATGAATGCTACAGGTTCTAAAACACAGCTCTGTATCAATATGATATGCCTCCTTATGGTTGTTTTTAAGTTAACTCATTTCTGATTTATCCTGAATGTCTAACGCTGTTATAGATGGTGCCTCCGCCACTCCAGAGCAATTTGACTGGTACTCCTACCAGGACCGAGCCCTTGGCTTCCAGGTGGATCTGAACAGCGGCTCCATCTGCTCTGGAAAGATCCTGCTGGGATCCCACATGAAGAAGCCCCTCTGGGTGGATCACAGCGCCACAACGGTTGGTTCACTCTTTTTCTAGAGTTCGGACCCACTTTCCCTCTTTTTCTGATGGTTTTGAAAATACTGTCAGCATTTCTTCAGTTGATTTGATTTATTTCCTTCTTCACTGTCTCCTTTAAGGTCTTTAATTTATTAACCAGCTCGGTGAGCGTGACCATTGACGGTGGCGTGTCCCGCTACAGGTCTGGACAAGCCTTCATGGTCGAATGTGGTAAGACTTTCATCTCATTGCTAGTAAGGCATCAGGACGCATTTAAATGTCGTTTTGTACAACACATGGTCCAGTCAGTTGCCAGCGCACTGTGTAGATATTTAGGGTTTTAGAGGTAATTTTAGACATCTTTAATGATTTGATGGCTTTTGTCTCTCATTTTGTGTTCACGCAGGAAGAGCCTACAGCATCCACAATAACAAGGCACAGCCGGCCGTGCTGTACTTCACCAGGGTGTTGGCAGATAGTCCGGACTGACACCACCAGCCAGCCAGATTTTTATTTGAAACCACCAAACTCCTGCATGTGTTCTAAAGCACACTGGGCTTCGTCAGTATTTAAATGGTCTTATTTTGAGTATAGATATGAGTTGTAAGTATGAGATTCGGTGTAATTTTTAAACAAACTTTTCAAGCCTAAGCTGTGCTTCAGATTGTAAGATTCTGCCAAAGCAGACTTAAAAAAAACTTGTAAATAAATTTCCTTTTTTTTTGTCTTTTGCAGTTTATTTTCATTTGAAATATAAAGTTCTTGGATGTAGATTTATTTGGGGGGGAGGGGATTGAATATGATTAAAAAAAACATTTTTTTTTAGGATGTAATCTGTACTTTTCTTTGCAGGTTCACAAACAACAAATGCTTTAATTCAAAACATTAAACAAAAGCAGGGAAATATTTTTTCTGCGTTTTTTGATTGTCTAATGTGAAATAATGCACAAAATATGTACTGTAGATAAAAAAAACAACCTAAAAGCAATGAATGATTTTTACTGAGAAAATGTTAATTTCTTGCACAAATCGAAATATTGACATTTAAATGTGTACACAATTCTATGTTTGAGATACAACTTTGAAGGAACAGTACAATATTTCATGTTGATTGGAACTGAGCTAAAGCATTTTTTTTTTTTCTACAGTTGCCTGTAAATTTGGGTCTGTTTTAGACAAGTGGCCACAAAATTAGAAGAAACGTAAGATTTTTAAATAAGGAAATCAAAATGTCCTTTTACGTTGTAACAAAATTGTTCTTCTCTATCCTTAATTTAGCTGGGTTGGAGAATCTTTCCAAGTGGAACAGTCTTTTCGAACTTTTTTGACACTGAACAGCTTGAAATGTGGTCTAAAAATTGACCTAACCTTTGGCCAGGAGGGTGAGTGATAGTCCACAGGGGGTGTTTGACCCAACCCACAAGAACCTCAACATGCAATCACAAGAGAATCCCTGTCGCTGATCCATGGATGACACTGGCCTTTATTACAGTGACCTTTGGTGTGGTGGTGGAAGCCTGATGAGCGCACATCTTCATGGTGTGTTAAAGGAAGGATTGTCAGCGATAGAGAGACTGGGTTTTATTACATATGAACTATATTTATAAAAAAAAATTTCCCTTTGAAGTCCTGTTTTTATTGGAGTTTCAGTGAAGATGTAGATCACTACCTTCCACCAGTTTAAATGTCAAAACGGGGTTTAATCTGTTACATACTACTAGGCGATGTAAAGCGGATTAAAGAGGGTACATTTGTAGAGGAATTAGGAAACATGTTGTGCGAAAAAGAGCTTAATATATATAGTAGTGAAATGTCCAGAGGGATATAGAAATGAGTAAATATGTAGAAAAGTTCAATTAAACACACAAAAATAGCAACCGTTACATCCATGTGAAAAAATACATGCTCAAAATGAAGGCGTATGTATACTGCATTGCTCTAAAAGTAACAAGGAAAATGCTATCTGAACCTGTAAGTAGTGCTCTGTGTTTAAGCTGCCATGATGCCTCAAGTAGTTTCTGTTTTCACAGAGTATCAGTGAGTATCGATAAGTGTTACAGCGGTTCAGAACAATTGATTCTTGGCTTGTGGAAGTACTCAGATTGTTCAGTGTTCAGCAATAATGGAGGATCATGGCCCGGGGAGAAGCATCTAAATGTTTGAATGATCTTTAAAACCAGCGCCCGACTAGTTGAATATTTAAAGATAGCTTTCTGTCAGGTCAAGTTTATTACCCATTACCACAAAACCATAATGGTCGAACATCACTTCTCTTCGACTTAGAATGTTAGACAACAAAATGTCCCCCGACAGTCACTCAGGCTAATTCATATCAATGACCTGAATACAAAACAAATGAAAACCGAGGCACTTCGCAGTAGTAGATCTTGGCCTGCCAGCTTTATAATTTAGCTTTTTAAAATGTCTGTTTTAGCAGCTTGAATAGCTTCAAGGCAAAATCTCCTTCAGGGAAGTGGATGCTACTTGGACTACATGCTGGACTGGAGCCCTATCTCTTCAATTATAAACCATGTCTGTGACCAAATATGCTGCTTGGAATGCAACATCTGTGCAAAGAAATAGCTGAGAGGCAATTCACTCCACTCCGCTCTGGGTGAGAATTTGTAATATTGTTTTTATTCCAGGATGAAAGGTTGAAATATAGCACAAATTGAACTTCAGTGTTGGGTGGTGATGTCTATTACAGACTGAGGAAGCAATATGTACCATTTTACTGCAGAGGGACTGTAAAAGTCTGCTGAGAGGGAAGCTGCTCGACTAAGTTCTAACAGTGTCTGGACTTTAGAAAAAAGGGCTTTGGCAGCCTCAGTGGAGCAAACTGGCCAGTGGCCAGTAACCCATGTCATGTAATAAAGCCCCAAACTATCACAAATTGTGTTTTTTAAACTGTCCTGATTTCAAGCCAATTGGTTAATCAGCTCCTGGAGGATCTGGCTGGCATGAATCCACGAATAGAAAATTATTATAAATTGGTGCAAAAGACCACTTGCTACTTTATCTCAGTCCACTCGAAATGAGACCACGCCAAGGGTGGCTGGAATATTTCATAATACATGTTCACCTTTTACTCAATTTTTCCATTTCTCATAATTATCTAAATAATGGCCATGTCATTTTTCTCAACCCCCATTCTTACTTGATAGCCAAATAGAAAAGTCAAACTTTGTTTGACTCGAATTCATTTTCTTTAGTGACAATCCTTTGCTGTTGATTTCTATCAGAAAGAAAGAAATAGGTTATGTTTTTGACTTAGGTGCCTTTATCTGCTAGTTTATTTTAAGTAGAAAGGCAAATACTGAATAATACATTTTGTAACGACAGTCCTCAGCAACAAAATGCAATCTATCTTTCATTGCTGTCCTTTAATGCATCCGGCATGTGTGCATCCAGCTGTAATGTGGCTGCAATGATTCATTTTGCTACCCAGAACACACTCTTTTTCTGATGGGTTTTTTTCCCCAGAAAAAAAATGAAGTTTTGCTACATTTTTTAGAGACCTCACTCCTGCAATATGAATGATCTTCCTCTGGCGTGGGGCACTTACACGTGTAGCAGATGTAGGTAGGTATTGAAAACAAAAGTCAGGACTAATGTAAATGATGAAATATTTCTGTGGAAGCACACGACTGTGGTGTGCAGGCTGGAGTTGGAACAAATGATAAGAAAAATGGCTCAATCTCTTTTCGGAAAGATGTCTTTTGGCCAAGAGGATTGATGCTTTAATGTCGGGTTTGATGATATTCCTTCTGAATAACACATTTCACATTGTTATCGTGCACAGAGACTGCAGAAAGACGTGTCAGGGAGAAATCTGGCAGTTAGTTGGTGCATTTTATATTCAGTGTATATAAATCATATAATTCCTTCCAACACTGAGCTTTAAATGTGAGGATTTCATTGGCTCAAACAAAGGCCGAACAAGCTATCCGTCTTGGTTCTTAGAATAGACTTGAAGAATTAACTATGATTTCCTTCCTTTTTCCTAATTGAAGGTTTTTTTTTAGCTGCACTTTATTCACAGACACAAGGACAACTAGGCTGGAGAGCTGAACAATAATCCTTAAAGAAGAGAGCATTTCTTTCAGCTTCAAACAAATTATAGGAAATTGTCTTGCAGTCTTCAGTTGATTTTTTCACCCAAACATGCAATTGATCCGTGAGGAAAATGACAGGCTTTTAGTATTCCCCGAAAGAATCTTTGTTCACCAGAATAAACCTCCAGAATCAATGAACAAATGGCAGAATGATGCAGAATTGTAGCCACTCAAATCTCTCGGTCCTGCTGATCTGCTGTACGTCCTTTTTGTTTTTAGACATCCTGGTTACACCCTTGTTGACTGAAGGATGTAACTTAGTAATGCAGAGAAGATCTAAATTACTGTCACTTATTTCTCATTCACAGGATCATCAACATAATCATTATATATATATATATATGTTATATCATTTGCACAATAAATGCTAATACACAGTCAATACAATGATTTCAAAAGCAAATTCAACTGACAGCAGAGGTGCCAAAGGGCTAAAACACAAAAACAAGCAGAACACAAAAGAGACGGAAGTGAAAACAGCTATGGAGATTATTCTGAGACTATCTTCTTTGCATTAAAGATTAAGTATGAAATATTAGGAAACAGCTAGGTGAAGCAGCAAACCAAAATATACCAAACCAAAGGTATCTGCTAAGCTTGAGGGCCTTGAGAAGCTGATAAGACTCCCCCATCTCAGGCAATCCAGACAGACTTGTCTGTGGTGGTCTGACCACTCTACTTTAGGGAATGTTTTGGACATGGCTAACATGGCTTACTTGATAGGGAAAATGTGGAAATGCGCAGATTTAATGTCTGCATTGGAAGAAATCAGGATGTCAGCACTGGAGGTTTGGCACAGCAGCCGCCACACGGAAGACAGAAGCTTGATTAAAAACAACAGCTAAAGCACAGCAGTATTGTGTGTGTGTTTTTCTTGTTTTATTATGCAGCTCTGCATGCATGTGCATGTGTCCAATTTCTCTAATAAAAAGATTACCAAAGGAAACAAGTTAAAATCAGATTTGTCTTTCTTCTTAGCTGATATGTGTGTGAGCAAGGCTGGTTTGTTTTTTTGTGCTTCTCGTGAAACACGACATTCATTTGTTTGTTTTTAAGAATTCAAATGGCATTACTGGAAATTCTGCTCTGGGTTAAAACAATTACCTCTGTTGAATTGGGGGTTTAAACATCATGTTACTGTGTTATTGCCTTAAATCAGTATAAATACAGACAACTGAGTGGAGCCAGTCTCAAATAAAACTTCTGCCGAGAGCAAAATCATTCCTTTCTGTAATGAAAAGTCTTTATCTCTGATTTTCTCTCACTGATGACACCCTTTCCAGCTGTGATGCAACAGTTTAACAGCATTGCTGCAGTAACGCTGATAAACGGGAGCTTGGACTCTCACCTAAAACTGACCTACAGCTTTTTGGAAAATTTGTGAAAGTGAATTTGTGTACTTTTTGAAGAAACCATTCCTTTCTACGTTTATTTGTGGCACATCTCTTGCCACTGGCTCACTCTTTTTTGAACAAAGTGTCTGACATCTTGTCTACCCAGCATGTTCAACAGTTGCAGACCAGAAGGATGAAAAATGCACGGGTCAGATTACTTTCTTAGCAAAAACAAAAAATGGAAAACTTCCCTCAGTTTAGAGGAAATGATCTCACTGAACCAAACCATGTTGAAAAGAGCTCCATTTCTCCAGATGTTTAATTCTGTGAAGCAGTGGATAGTGATTGTTCATTCATTGCACTCCGGTATAAAAGTTTAATAAGGAACAAAGTGTCTGACATCTTCTCTGCGCAACATGCTCAACTTCAGGCTTTTCCGAAACAGGCTTTAGAAAGCTAGAAAGCTAGAGACTTTATGAAATAAATAGATGAATGGGAGA